CTTTTGTATCTAGCATGAAATAAAACTGATTGTAATAGAAAGGGTATTAAACTAGGGGTCAGGACTCCTGGATTATAGCTCCCAGTTCTGCTGTTAATTTACTGTGTCATCTCACGTGAGTCATTCTATTTCTCTGGGTTCCCATAACTGTAAAATGATTAATGTTTATAATGCTGAGTTCATAGCTCTTGTGACAGAGAAGTTCCCTGGGCATTAGTTTCTGGATTCTAGCCACTTCTTGGTGGAGTATTACTGATCACTTAAATTACCATTGAATATCCGGAAAATGTGTCCCCCCAGACAGCATTTGATTACAAATATAGCATTTGATTAAGATAATACATCTAAGAATACATGTTGAAATCACAATATCTTCATCTCTGAGATTCCCCATGAATATAAAGCATAGATCAGGGTATAGAAGCTGCAGAAATGGATGGTAACCTTCCTTCCTCTGGTACTACAAAGCATCTGGCAATGTCCTCTTCCATGAATTGTCTCCCATTGTCCTTGCTTTGGGACTCTGCTAGCTCTTTCTATGAGGCCGTTTCAGTAATTTCCTATAATCTATAAGACTCTATGTGATCCACTCTCCCCACCCCCTTTGACATCCTCTCCTCCTTATCACTCACCATGTTTCAGACATACCGGGCTCCTGGATATTCCTGGAACAGATCAGAGCTCAGTTCTGCCTCAGGACCTTTGCACTTGCTGTCCTTCAGCCTCGAATTATCTTCATCCCATGGCTCCTTCCATGCTTTTAACCACCATGTTATATTAATTGTTCAATCAGTGTTGTCAACATATGAGATTCATATAATAAGTAATAATGCAATACAAAACTTGTGTCAGTTCTTTTAGTGTCCTTGATTTATATATTTCTCTCCACTCCTTATTGTCCAGTTAACTCTATTACCAAAAATAAATACAGAGAAGGAAAAGAACACAATTATCTAGGAGTGATTTTTGGCAATAGTTTGGGACCATTTCTTAGAGTGGGGGCTCTTACCTTCAGGTAACTGCAGGCTTCTAACTTCTGAAATCATCTATACATTTTAGCATGAATGAGCTTATCTGCACTTTTCTGAGAAGTTCCACAGCTTTCTTAGACTTTCTTAAGGGATCTGTGACATAAAAAGAGAAGAACGACCTAAAGAAAAAAAAATAACCAACTACCTTACTAGAAGCCAACGGAACATTGGACACTTCTATATTTATTATTAAAAATAAACTCCATAAATGCTATGGAGCCACTAAAAATATTTACAACTCTGGTATGACATAGAAAATGCTGATGCTGTAATGCTAATAACAATATAAAGTGTTCACCTGATTTCCTCCCCAATCCATGCATATTACACTTCATTGCCTCTACACTTTATTTGTCAAGGTCACCCTGACTGTGTTGGATCCAGCAGCTACTTCTCTATCCTCGTTTTTCAATATAGTTGGCCACTGGCTCCGTTCCCATGTCAAGACTAGTCCTTCCCAGTCACCTTCCTGGCCCTGCTAATTATTGGAGCACTCCAGGGTTAAACTTGGGTCTTCTCTTCTTCATCCTCCTTTTCATCACTCTCTCCCTAAGTGATCTTATCCAGTTCCATGGCCTTAAATACCTCACACTTTCATTAAAATATACATATTGTATTTAATTCACACCTCCAGTACTGACCTTTATAGTGAGCTCTAAGCAGGAATGTATTCAACTGTTTGCTTAACATCTCTCCTTGGCTATCTAAGATGTAAGCACCTCAGACTAAATATTTCCAGAGAGAGCTATTATTATTAACAACACTATTATTATTGTCTATGTTTTTCAGCTCACAGAATAGTGGCTGGCCCATAAGACTCTCAAGAATTATTTCTTGACACTTCTGGCCAAGATGGAGGCATAGGTAGATACACTTTGCCTCCCTGAACAACCAAAAGAAGGACAACAACAAATTTAAAAATAAAAAACGCCCAGAACTGCCAGAAAATCAAAATGTATGGAAGTCTGAAAATCAAGGAGTTAAAGGAGAAACATTCATCTAGACTGGTAGGGGGGGCAGAGGTGGGTAGCCAGGGTGGAGAGGATGCGCAGGAAGGCAGCAACTGGAGAACCAAGCCAGGGGGCAGCTGGTGGATGGGGTGGTCCCACATTTGCATGCAGATAAACTGGGAGGAACAACTGGGGAGCAAGACAGACCGTTCAACCTGAGGTTCCTGAATAGGAAAAGAAAGCCTCCAAACCCCTGGCTGCAAAAACCTGTGGGGGTTGCAGCAGTGGGAGAAACTTGCAGCCTCACAGGACAGTTTGTTGGAGACACCCACCAGGTCCTAGAATGTACACAAACCCACCCACCTGGGAATCAGCACTAGAAGGGCCTCATTTGCTTGTGGGTAGCTGAGGAAGTGACTGAAAGCTGGCCTAGAGCCAAACAAGTGGCATTGTTCTCTCTCTGACCCCTCCCTCACATACAGCATCACAACCCAGTGATGTGGGTTGACCCACTCTGGTGAATACCTAAGGCTTTGCCCCTTACAATGTAACAGGAATGCCAAGACAAAGAAATATGGCCCACATGAAAGAACAGATCAAAACTCCAGAAAAAAATGCAACTAAGCGATGAAGAGATAGCCAACCTATCAGATGCAGGGTTCAAAACACTGGTAATCAGGATACTCACAAAATGGTTGAGTATGGTCACAAAATAGAGGAAAAAGTGAAGTCTATGCAAAACAAAATAAAGAAAAATATACAGGGATCCATCAGTGAAGGGAAGGAAACCACGACTCAAATCAACGATATGGAGCAGAAGGGACATAAACATTCAACCAAAATAGAATGAAGAAACAATTCAGAAAAATGAGGAGAGGCTTTGGAATCTCCAAGACAACTTTAAATGTCCCAAAATCTGAATCGTAGGGGTGCCAGAAGGAGAAGAGGAAGGGCAAGAAATAGAAAACTTATTTGAACAAATAATGAAGGTCAACTTCCCCAATCTGGCTAAGGAAATAGGCTTCCAGGAGATCTAGGAAGCTCAGAGAGTCCCAAAGAAGTTGGACCCAAGGAAGCAGACACCAAGGCACATCATAATTACATTACCCAAGATTAAAGGGAAGGAGAGAATCTTAAAAGCGCCAAGAGAAAAGGAGACAGTTACCTACAAAGGGGTTCCCATAAGACTGTCAGCTGATTTCTCAAAAGAAACCTTACAGGAAAGAAGGGGCTGGAAAGAAGTATTCAAAGTCATGAAAGACAAGGACCTCCATCCAAGATCACTCTATCCAGCAACGCTATCATTTAGAATGGAAGGGCAGATAAAGTGCTTCCCAGATAAGGTCAAATTAAAAGAGTTCATCATCATCAAGCCCTTATTATCTGAAATGTTAAAAGGACTTACCTAAGAAAAAGAAGATCAAAACAATAAAATGATGACAATAAAACTCACAACTATGAACAACTGAACCTAAAAAAGAACAAAACCAAAACAACAAGAACAGGAACAGAATCATAGAAATGGAGATCACATGGAGGGTTATCAGCAGAGAAGGGGAGAAGGGAAAAGGGGGAAAAGGTATAGGGAATAAGAAGCATAAATGGTAGTACAAAATAGACAGGGGGAGGTTAAGAATAGCATATGAAATGGAGAAGCCAAAGAACCCATATGGATGACCCATGGACATGGGCTAAGGAGTGGGGGGAATGCTGGTGGGAAGGGGGGCACAGGGGAGAGGGGAACAAAGAAGAGGGAAAAATGGGACAACATTTAATAGCATAATTGATAAAATATACCTTAAAAATATAAAATATACTTCAAATATTTGTTGAATAAGTAAAAAAAATATCTACAGTATACACGCAACTTTTTGTCCAGTTATGGTTAACATAACTTAGAGTGGTGGGAAAAACACCAAAATGTTAATGGCTGAGCATTAAATTGTAAGATTTCTCTTAAAACTCCTTTTTTATTTTTCAATTTTATTTAAAGCATTCCTGTTAAAAATATCAGATTTTGGAGCTGAGTGACCTCTGTCAAACTGCCACTTACCTTGCTTTCATCACATGCCAAAGGGGCTTAAACATATGTACCTCATTTATATTCATGCAGCATTCACAGTGTGCTTGAGGAACAGAACGAAGAAATAAAATGGAGTCCCTACAGTCAAGATGCTAAATTACTAAAATCAAGTAGTTCAAGATAGGAGGAAACGATGGTTTTAACTAGCCTGAGGACTTAAACATTTGAACTTTCCAGTCTTGTGTCAATACAGGGTCCAGCAGAAGTAACACCTGCTTGAGTGTGGTTGGTAGGGTAATAATATGGATGTAATAATTTATAATTTTAATTTGAACATTTCACCTAAAATGTCATATGGCATGTTTGAGTGTAAGTTATGTTACAGACTTACATGTTTATGATTTTGTAATATTTTGTATTTATTTCGTACAACGTACATAATATTGTGGTGGACTCTGCACAATAAACCTCTAGATAACTCTGATTTATACCCCCCTGCCCACCGCCCCTCAACGAGGACTCAGGAAAAATCGTCATAGATCCAGACCACGGATCATCTACGGGATTACCATCGTTATCAATCCAGAAGCTAGCAATGTAGACAACATTTTGTCTACACTCTGGGTATTGCCTAGTTGCATTTTCTTTTGCAAACCCCAAGAACCTTTACTAAATCTTTATCACTTACTTGTAGACAAAGATTCGTGATATATTTGCTCAGTGTACACGCTTTATTGTGAAATTACAGATGTAAAGAACTTCGCAGGGTGCAGGACACATAGTAAGTGGTGGAGAGTGTTAGCTGATAAAGATGACAAACGTGCTTCCTTTTGTAATAAAAAATACACATTTTTCTTACACACCTCTACTAAAGTGAGTAAAATTCCACCCACATACAAGCCAGCCAGCGCCTGCACCCCTCGGGCTCCCCAGAAGCTCCCCCGAGCGTGCGCCTGCTCCATCCCCGTTTTCCGCCCACGTGACCCCCTCAGGCTCCTCCCCGTCTCCAATATGGCGGCCTCCAGGGGCGCAAGCCGCACGTGAGATTCGGGTTGGACACCAGGGCCTCCGAGAACGCAAGTGTGTCCGCCAGTTTCCGCTCCCTACCTGTGGTTGCATCCCTTCGACCCTTCCCCAAGCGCTCGTGGGCCCTGCCCCGTTGCAGTCATGAAGACAAAGCCCGTTTCCCACAAGACCGAGAACACACACCGGGTGAGCGGGGAAGCTTGGGCCAGCAGTCGTGAGTCTCTGGTGTCTCAGCCGTGGAACTGTCTCGGAGTGGTACTCCCGGGGCCGCAGTGTTCTGGGCCAAGTGTGAATCGCGTGTTCGGAGGTTCCGGCAAAAGACGGGCTCTCCTGGTGTAGTAAACATGGGATGGGGAAAAGGTCTCGCAGCAAATTTCGCTCGTGGTTTGTGGGGTCTGGAGTGCCTGGGAAGCGTCTTCAGTCCAGAGTTAAATTCACTCGCACAGACTAATTCCTTAGAAGCTGCTCTCCCCTGCCAGTTTATCTTTAAATGCCACATTAGGAGGCGGGCCGGTGGGAGAATGCGAGTGATTTCCACGAATGGGTACTACACCATTTTCTCAGTTTGTCCCTCCGTTTGAGAGTTTCTTCGTAATGGAACATCCTCAGGTTTATATATGTTTAAAACACTATTATTGTAACGATTTAGCCAGGTCTCTTTGTTTTTATAAGGGCTGTGAAACCTAGCAGTAGACCTAGCAAGGCCACGTTGCCAGCTTTCCAGTCTAATATGGAAATTTTACTTGAAATGACATAACTGAAAGAACTTATGCAAACATATTCATAAAAGTATTCTAAATATTATCTCTGTATAGTAGTGCAGTGCATTTGTTTAAGGCTCTGTGTCGGTTTGTTTTTACACTTACCTTTTGATTCATCAGTGATATCTACTTTTAGTTTCAAAACTCATACATTTTATGATTGACTGAAAATACAATATAATGATATGTAATGATAGTACATAAGGAGTATATATGAAGATATACAGTGGTAGTACATAAGAAGGCTATGGAAGCTTCAACCATTCGACTTTCAAGAGGAAGTTGTCCACATGTGATTATTATACAGCATTCAAACCTATACTGAAGTTGTGATAAATATTAAATGATGATGTATCTTAAATATGCTCCTCCATTCCCCTCAGTTTCTTACATTTGCTGAACGATTGGGGAATGTGAACATCGATATCATTCACCGCATCGATAGAACGGCAAGCTATGATGAGGTAAGAGAATGTTAAACTATCCAGTCTTCAAGTATTCATAATCAGCTTGTTGTGTCTCCTCTTGAAGAGGATCGTTCTTCAAGCCATTCCTTTATGAACATAAAAAGCATTTAGACCTGTCTAATACAGTAGTGACACATAACAAATTATATTTAAATTAAATGAAAAATTGAAGTGCTCAGTAGTCATACGTGGCTAGTTCCTACCCTATTGGACAAGTGAAATGTTTCCATCATTGCAGGAAGTTCTGTTGGGTGATTGGGTGTTAGACAGCTGATTTGATGCTCAGGTGGCTTCTGTGGTTCCAGCCTCTCCGTTTCCCCCAAGCATTCCCAGCACTGTTGCAGTACCATATTCTGAAACTACGATTGTAAAGAGATTTTTAGCAAGTGACTTTCCTGGGGCTTTGTTCCCTCTTTTATAAAAAGAAAGGGACTACAACTACGTAATTTTTTCCCACCTTTTACCATACTCTAACTCAATGACACCTCTCTCAATAATCTTGCTTTTTGTTGTTTCAAATAATTATTTCTCTGCCAGCCTTTAATGGTCCTGTATAATATACTTTCAGTTTAGGGATTCAATCTCAATTCTTAACTATTTGGCACTTGGCTCTAGTCGGTCTCTGCTTGCTCTCTTTGAATGCCTTGTCTCCAGTGTGTGAATTCAGTGTGTTAAATGACATTATCTAGGAAAGAGCACATAATGCTTTATGAACTCATAGTCAAGGGAGCTTAACTTCAGTTCCTTGGAGTGAAGGGGAGGGTGTCAAAAATAATAATGTAGACCAAGTGATAACTGAATTTAGTCTTGATGTTTGTATAGGTTTTAGCATAGCAAAGAAGATAGGGAAGGCTGTTTAGGCTGAGGGAGAAGCCTGTATAAAGGAACAGAGGCTAGAGAATGCATGTCACATTCAAGAAACTACAGGGCAGTTTATTGTGGTTATAATTGTATGTTGGGTGCATGTTTATGTGTGTTGATAATGACTGGAATGTAGGAAGAGGGACCCGGTGAGAGAGAATGAAGACGGAATAATCAAAAATCATAAAGGTCTTCGTAAGTCGAGCTAAGGCTGGATTTTACCCTGAAGCTGTGGGATGTCATTCTAGGATTGTAAGAAAGGGGAGTAAGTGACATGACGAGGTTTAATTTTAGCTCTCTCTCACGTTACTATGAAGGAAAGAGCAGGACTGGAGTCAGGGTTAGCGGTTGTGAGGATTTGGCAGTTACGTAAGTAAGAAATGATAGTGGTAGTGGTGGTCAAAGGGAGAGAAGGGCACGATTTCAGAGATACTACATAAATAGAACTGATCGGACTTGTGACCTGCTGGATATGCAAGGAGGAAGGGAATGGGGTTAAGGTTTTTGGTTATAACAACTAGGTGGTTGAGGATGTGATTCATCAGGATAGATTTATAGGAAGAGGAGTATGGGATTGGCTTTGTTTAAGGCTTATTATACTTGATGTACCTGTGGCTCTCCAAATGATGATATCCAAAAGCCATTTGGATCTGGTGACTTCAGAGGTGGAATTACAGATTTAACACTCAGCATATAGTTTATAGTTTAAGGCACAGGAGAGATTGAAAGTTGTAGAGGAGTAAGTATTAAGTTAGCAGAGAAGACAGCCTGGCTGGGTGGTCCAGAATGGCCTCAATCAAATAAAAGTCTGACTGTTGACTTAGGACTTGTTGGTCTAGGTTGTCATCGTAGCCACTTGCTGTCTAGTGAGCTGGATTAGGCTTCTTTTCTTGCTGGCAAAATCTTTCCAAGACAGTGAAAGCAGAAATACGAAGCCTGTTAAAGACTAGCTCTGGCAGTCACAGGGTCATTTCTGTTGCATGTTATTAGTCAAAGCAGGCAAGAGGCCAGGCCAGATCCAAGGGACGAGGAAATAGACTCCATCTTTTGGGGTAGGGTCTGCATATCGCAGTGCAAAGAGACTGGGGCATCGTCTATCACAAAAGGTAGACATGTGCCAGTCACAGTATTAGGCTAGGAATGCCTTCTACGTGTAGGTTTTAAACTATTAGATATATTTCCCTTCTGCCTTAAGAGACACTGAACAAAATTTGATGAGATTCCCTTTCTTCTTCTGTCTTCTCCCTAATTATTGATTTTTATTTTATAAAGATTCCCAAAGCACAGTGTAAGGATTTAACTTTTTTGAGACTGTGGAAGGTCTGGCACTCTGTATATGTGCTTATGTATTTGTTCTCTCTCTCTGTCTGTCTGTCTCTCTCTCTCTCTATATATATCCATTTATAATATGTTTATATGTATATGTGCATACACATACATATACACATACATATACACATGTATGGTAATAATTTATTGGTTTTACCTTTCAAAGTACGAAGTAATATAAATTATGTTAATAAGCTGAATAATGAATGTACTAAGGAACTTAGGCAAACATAGTATCTCAACCCCCCAAGGAAACTGATGTTGGTAGTTTGTTATGTGTTATCTTGCTTGTCTTCCATGCTTGTCTCTCATACAAATATGTGCGGACATTTATAGAGGTCCTTTTTTAAAAAGAAAAAAGGGATCATACTATACACTTGACTGTGTGACTTTTATCACCTTGGGAGGTATGTCATCACCGTCCTTCTTGTTCGATATAGATCTTTTTAATTGCCACATAATATACCTTAATATGTACAGACCACAAGTTATTCCAGTCACTTTCCTATGTTAGATATTTAGGCTTTTTTATGCCCCCCCCACTACAATAATGCTAGATAAACATCTATATACTTATATCTTTGCAAATTTTATAAGAAATATCTCCAAAAGAGGAATTACTGGATCAAGGGGCATACTGCTTTTAATTTTAATAGATATGCCATGTTACTTTCCCATAATCTTGAAGCAGTTCATATTTCCAAAAGTAAAATGAAAGAACTGTGAAAAGTCAATGCATATTTCTGGGCCTAAAAGTGTAAAAAACATGGAAAAAAGGTTTTTCCCTTAGTATGACTATTATATAGGTTTTAGAGAATTATTTACTGCAACCAAATCAACAGAACTTGTTTTTATTAAGCATCTGTCCTTATCATATACCTGAATACCTTTGAAGTATGTTAATTAATGCCCTTCAAAAGAAAAGTTTAACTCTTAACTCTCATCGTCTTAAGATATTAATACATCACTATTCTTATTTACTGTGATTATATCCAGTTTGTCTTTGAATTGTCTGATTAATGGACTGCTTTCATCTTGACAGGAGGTTGAAACCTACTTTTTTGAGGGTCTACTGAAATGGAGAGAATTGAACCTTACGGAACACTTTGGTATTTTCTACTTTGTCTCTATTTCACTTGTCTTTTACACTTGATATGTTCAAAACAACTAAATAATGGAGTGATGGAAAAGCAGAACATGTTTTTTTTTTCCATCTAGGAAAATTTTACAAAGAAGTTATTGACAAATGTCAGTCATTCAATCAGCTGGTCTATCATCAAAATGAGATAGTTCAGAGTTTGAAGACTCACCTGCAAATCAAGAACAGTTTTGCCTATCAACCCCTTTTGGAGTAAGTAGCACATTGAGAGAAAGCTCAAGGCCATTTGTCTGAATTTTATGATTGGTTGTGTTTTATAGCTATATGCCTTAGATATGATGTTTGTAATTTAAAAATAAGAATTTACCTTTTCTCTTGATCTGAATATTAGTGCATTGCCATAAAGCAGAATCTTAAGTATATACTTTTATCTCTCTTGAGACGTGATTTAGGTTTAATTAATTCTGTTATCATAGGCAATCAGTTATCATTTATGAAATAGATTTGCAGTACTCGTTTTTTGGTCTGTATGTCTCACAAATGTTACTTTTCTTATTTTTAATTCAGTTTGGTTGTACAGTTGGCAAGAGACCTGCAAACAGACTTCTATCCACATTTCCGGGACTTTTTTGTGACTATTACCTCAATCTTGGAGACTCAGGACACCGAGTTGTTAGAATGGGCTTTCACCTCACTGTCGTATCTTTACAAGTACCTGTGGAAGCTCATGGTGAAGGACATGCCTAGTATATACAGGTGACCCTTTTCTCGCTAATATAGGGGTTTATCTTTTTCTTTCTCTTTTTTCTTGTTTCCTTTTAATTTTCATTATATGTTATTGACAATTCAGTGCATTTCCATTGTCTCCAAAAGATCTCTCATGCCCGTTCGCAGTCAGTCCTGCTCCCCACCTGCGTTAGTTCTGAGAGCGAAAGCAATGTGTGTATGTGTAGTGTTCAGATTGCCTCTGTTAAAACAGCTGTGTGCCTAGGGCCCTGAATGGAATCATCTTTCTCAAGATGAAAGAGCACAGCCGAAGTGGTCCACAGTTTACTTCAGCGGTCTGCATTGACCTGACCTTTTCTTATAGCCAACTGTTGAAACCATAGCCCCCTCCCTATTAATGCCTGGCTTGGCTTTATAACCTCCACTACTGTTCCCGGGCACCTTGACCAGAAGTAAAAGCTTTGTACTTGACCCCTCTGACGTCCTGTTACCACTTATGTCACACAGCTTCTGTTAACAATTGTTCATAATGGAATGCTATCTTCCACAAACCTGTAAACTCTTCAAGAACCTCATCTTAAACATCTACATTTCCCCGGCCCTCGTCATACGTATTAAGCCAAAAGAGGTGCTCAGTATTTGTGACCAAATAAGAACAGGGAAAGAGAATGAATTCCAAAGTAGATTTTTGTTTAAAATGAGGGAAAGATTATTTATAATTTCCTTCAATCTGGGACTTGATGGAATTTTCCGCTTGGTGTCCTATGTACTTTAATTGCCACATGAATATGTAAGATAAACTCTTCTCCTCTCTTGCCATATAGATGTGGGTATGGGATAAGACTGTAGAATTTTGTTTTTGTATCACCCGCCTTGACCCTACCTTCCTTTGAACAAAGATGGAGAAAAATATTTTTCCAGCCTTTAGTAGTTCTCAATGAAGCTTTTGGTCAAGTGTATTAGAAACCAAGATTACTTCATTAAAAACCAACAAGATCTTGGGGGGTTATATAGTTTATTTAGTTTCATGAGTTCTGTTACTTTCATATCCCCTAAGTCAGGCTCTCTAGTTCTAAATTTATTTGCTTTTACTATGACATCCTCAGCAGCCTGAATGTTTTTATTTCAGCATTATTGAAACCGAAGTCAATACATTCCCACTGAAGCTAACTCTTCTCATTCATTCATGTGTTCTGTAAATATGTGCTTAGTGCCAGGCCCTGTTCGGTTGCCCAGTTTCTAATAGTGATCCCAGCATCTTCCCATCACTGAGACGTGGTGCCTTAGGGACATCTTCGACCATGTCTTCAAGGTCTCCAGAGCCTCATAATTCTGTTATTAGTGCACTCAATCAGTGCAGTGGATTAAGCACTGTCTGTGTGTCAGGCACTTGAGATACGGTCGCAAATAAAATATAAAAATCCCTCTTCTTTCAGAGTTTACATGGTAGCAGAGAGAGAACATCTTGGACACATGCCTGGCATGCGTGGGGATTGGCAAGGAAACTTGGGTGTTTGAGCGGCGCGCAGAAGGGAGAGTAATTAGGCGATGTCAGGGTCATGGCAGCTAGGGAGTCAGGTCAGAAAGAGCCTTGTGGACACTATAAGGGCTTAGGTTTCATTGCAGGGACTTTGGGTCCACCCTTTGCCATTCCCTTCTATCAGCAGCCTCTTTCATGTCCTTGTTCATCCGAGCTTGTGTGACTTGAGCAACTTTCTCGTTGGACTGCCAGCCTCTTTCTTCCTTTATATGATCCTATATATTGCTGCCAAAATAATCTCTCTGAAAATACTCATTTCTTTTTTAGCCAATATTAGTACCTGCTATGAGCAAGGAACTGTTGGGTAATAGGGATACGACAAAGATAGGAAGAGACCAAACTCCTCAGCTTGGTGTTCAGAACCATTTCTTCACGAGGCAGCATTATCTGCACTGCCTGACCCGACTGGCAACCTCCTTGTTGTCTCTTACCTTGGTTTTTCCCATCTCATCTTTGATCTCGCTTTTATCTCTAGTGATAAGCACCTTGATGTTCACCTGAATTCTTTCTGTTATTCGGAATTTACTACAAGTTTCAGCTTTTCCTGGAGTCCTTTCTATGAGTCCAGCGCCACTGATCCTGTGCTGCTTAATTTCTGTGACCTTCAGTCTTCTGTTCCAATGTGTGGGTGTCTTGGTAATTGAATGAGTTTTAAACATCTTGTTTTATACCTGTTACATATTCCTTGCCAATCTAGTACAGTGTTGGTTGGATATATAGTTGACATGTAATGGCACTTTGTTAAAATTATAATTATTAAAATTGTCTTATTTTTCTCATTGATAGGATGTATAGTACCCTCCTGGCTCATAAAAAACTACATATAAGAAATTTTGCTGCTGAAAGCTTTACTTTTTTGATGAGAAAGGTTAGTCTGATGTTTCATGTTTATTGCTCATTAATCCTCAAGAATCTGATGAACAAAAGCTGATCTTTTATAATGTGGTTATTGTGGACTACTTTTACACACACACACACACACACCACACCACACCACACCATACCACACCACACCACACCACACCACACCTGTATTTTGAATTTATCATACCATAGGTTTACTCTTCTCACTAATGTCAAATAATTTGAGTCATTCTTCTATTATTATTTAGGTTTTAGGTTTTTGGTAGTTTTCAGTGTCTGTGTGTGTGTGTATACAAGTACCCCCTAATTCAAGCCAGTAAATACATGGACAGTGAGGTTAACTGGAATTTCTACAATGATTTCCTGGAAGAAACAGATTGCATAATGTCACTTGTATTGGTTTCCATAGTAAACTTTAGTTTTATAATGAAATGAGAACATTGGTATTAATGTGTTTCGTACTCATAAAATACATGATTTTCTATAAAAATATGTTTTCTTATGTAGTTTTCCTTGGTACATACCTTATGCCAGTGAAGTGATCACTCTTTTGTGTTACAAGTGTTAGTATACTGTTATAGTAGTTTGAGGTTATGACAAGTGTCTATTCCTTTTAGAATTTTGTCCTAATTATATTATTTGAATATGAATCTGTAGAACAGTGAGTAAAATTTATTTGAATATGTTTACGTTTTAAATACAATGTTCCACTTACATTTTGTGTTTTAGGTTTCTGATAAAAACATACTTTTCAATTTAATGTTTCTTGATCTTGATGAACATCCCACAAAGGTAGAAGGAGTTGGACAGTTGCTCTTTGAAATGTGCAAAGGAGTGAGAAATATGTTTCACTCCTGTACAGGAAAGGTAAATATTACGGGGTGGAATGCTTGGAGTCTGTGTGAAAGAGATTAAACAGAAAAAGGATTTGCTGCAATGTAATGGACAGAAGAGTGCTGAGAATAAATACTACTAAAGGGGGAATAGTAAGGCTTTAATAGCAGTGTTTACCTAAAGTAGGCTCTGGATCACGAGGTATTTTTACTCATAAGATCATTGCTTTCTTTTTTATCCCGGACTCTAGGCGGTAACAGCAATTGATTAATGAGCAAAGGTGGGTGTGGTGGGGGCAGCTGGATGATAAGATTCTCATCCTATTTTGGAAATTCCTTTTGAGAGAGTTAACCATCAGAGTGCCATATCCATAATTATTCCTAGATTCGATTTTAAGGTAACTAGTATGATCAGAGTGGGGAATCACAGTGTAATACTTAAAATGTGGGTTTACATGTTTATTTTAATGATTCTTGGATTCCCATAGGCAGTGAAGCTAATTTTGCAAAAACTAGGACCAGTTACTGAAACAGAAACTCAACTACCATGGATATTAGTTGGAGAAACACTGAAAACCATGGTCAGATCTGCTGCGTGCTACATCCACAAGGAACATTTTGGTATATTTTTTGAATGTTTGCAGGTGAGTTCTAATTTTTCAGGGTTCGTATGTGATAGGAGTCTATAAGAGTTGATTGTTTTTCCTCGTTTAGCAGATGACTACTGGAGATTGTATTTTATAATTGCCTTTATACTTTTACACACTTATTAAGGTTTTCCTTCCATCAGCCCCCTGTGCTATTTCTGTTTGATTTGATACTTTGAGACGCAGTAGGGCATAGTGATTAAGAGAGCAAGCTTTGGAGCCAGACTGCCTGTATTTGAATCTTGGCTGTATTGCTTATCACTAGTATGACTAGGGGAAGTTATTTAAGTCTCTTCCCCCTTCTTTTCATCTGGTAAAAGGGATAATAGTATTGATATTTCCTCCTTCATGGTGTGGATTATGAGGGAATGCTTATGAATAACAACTGTGCGTTCAGAGGTGTTAACTGTTTTTATCCTTAGTAAATCCCAGTAAAGGTGTTTCCCAGTGAAAATTTGAACTGCTTCACATAATATTTTCATTATTCAGTTAACAGATGAATTAGATATTTTATATTCTCTCTTTTAAATATTCTTTCTCTTAAATTCTTTGTTTGCAGGAATCACTCCTGGATCTACATACAAAAATAACACAAACTAACTGTAGTGAGTGTTCTGAACAGATTAAAAGGTTGTTAGAAACATATCTGATACTTGTGAAATATGGAAATGGATCAAAGATAACCAAGCCTGTTGATGTTTGTAAGGTGAGTTCCCAATTTAATCTACTTAGAGTTTGGTCATTAAAAGGTGATTGCTAAATGTGCATTGTTTTTTCTTTTATTTATAGGTATTGTCCCAAACATTACAAATAGCCCATCTCTCCACATCTTGCCGGAAAAGCCTCTTGGATGTAATTTCTGCTTTGATCCTAGGCGAAAATGTTTCCTTGCCAGAGGCCCTCATCAAAGAAACCATAGAAAAAGTAATTTACTTCAGCAAATATTAATTGAATAGTTAATAATATGCTTAGTATTGTGTAACCTGGGGAGTATAAATGAAGCATGGCAAAGGCTCTACCTTCAGGAAATTTATAGTCTTAGTAATAAATCTTTGAATTGAATCACATGCTGTAATAAGGAAAACAAAGTGTGATGAAAGCTAAATCCGTTTGGCAAATGTACACCAAATATGTACAGCCTACATTGTGCTGGGTATGGACTAGATTTCACAGTGGACACTATGATGCCTCTGGTTTTTTATTGGAAAGTAGGGCCCTGAAAGCGAATAGTTACAATTTGTTGATTTACTCTATCGACATCATAGAGAAACATAACAGTTAATTCTGTCTGGGGTTGAGGGACAGATTACTTTTCAAAGGACTGGTATCTGGGATACTCCTTAAAGGCTAAATAATGGACTGCCTGTTAGAGAAAGGGTTAAAAACTCTAGGAAAGGAAACAGCAAAGATGTGTTAAAAAAAATCTATGCCATCTAGGCATGTGGACACATGAGGAAGTGTGATGTATATCATGTCAGCAAGGCTGTGCTTGGCTTTGAAAAGTTAGGTTGGATATTATCCTGCAAGTATTAGAGGGCTTGGGAAAAATTTTTAGCAAGGAAATGATTTGATGAAGTTGGCATTTGAGGGAGTTTAGGAGGTGGATTGGAGGGAAGTGGGATTGAAAGTAGATGGGTTAGACTCTTCTAGCCGCATGTAGTGCAGCCGAAGGAAGTGTAGAGGAGGATGTAAAATGTGCTGCTGGCTCTTACATAACTCTCCGTAGCGAGAGAGAATCGAACAGCTGTGGGAGAGCCCTGTGCAATCGCTAGAAACGCAGTGCCCTTCCCACCCTTGTAGGCTCCTGTGGAGAAGGCATAGCAAGTGGACAGACAGAATTCTGATTGACCTGTGCCCACCACTCCCTCATTCCAGCTGCCCTCCTGGGAGGGCCGAGTGCCTGTGTCTCCCATCTGGGTTTGTCCCTCTGCATAGCTGCAGAGAGAGCAGCCACGTTCTTAACTTGTATCAAGCATCCCACTACTCTCTGCTTGCAAGTTAGAGGACCTGGAAGGTTTTGAATGGGGAAAGTACTGTCTGTATACTTACATTAGTATTTTTTTACATGTGATCCACAGACTTTTGAGAGCCAATTTGAAAGACGTTTAATTTTGGATTTTTCTGAAGTCATGTTTGCTATGAAGCAGTTTGAGCAGGTGAGCAAAATATTAAGTTTTGATTTGTTTTTAATGTCATGGTAAAATAAATTTGAAACCCTGTGATGCCTGTGTGTGTGTGTGTGTGTGTGTGTGTGTGTGTGTGTGTTGTTTAGAGAAACAGAATCAGTATTGGATGTTTTTATTCATATATATTTTTTAAAGCAATTACGTATATATTCCAATTTTAGATCACAAGTGAAATTTTATTCCATATGCTAAGGCATTTAAAATGATACTAGGTAACCAGCTTGTTTTTAATTTTTCAATTACAGTTGACTTTCAGTATTATATTAGTTTCAGGAACCAGCTTGTTTTGAAATAATCCTTTTGGAAGTTACAGAACCATGTGGTACAATAGGAAAAAAGAAACTGTTTAAGGGACATTTACAAATTTAAAGTACAGAAAATAGTTTCTCAAACACTGCATGGGAAGTATGTTGCAAATTCATTCATTGCTACAAAATCGATACCCAATGGAATGAGACAGAAATCTTTCTCATCAAGTCCTGAATTTATTTTGATGTATTCTTTTCCCCTCACGCCCATCCAACATTTGCCACCATTTCTTATAACTGGTAATCTTACAATATACTTCATGGAACCTACCTCAGTATCTATTCTCTCATTTTTCTGTTTAGTCTTTAGTAATATATATTATCATTTATCTCAAAAAAAAAAAAAAAAGCCTTCTTTGTTCACATTCTAGCCCTGTTTCTCCCTGCCCAGTGAAGACCCTTTATCTCACTGTTTTGTGTTTTTAGTAACTGCATCTTTTTCTTCTTTCCTGTTCCCTTTGGTCTTTTATAAGTAACGTTATATTTATCAGATTACTCTATGGTGTTTAAAGTCAAACAGGGCTAAAAGGCAGCCGCTTGATTTCCATTCCCATCCTTCTCACCAGGAACAAACCACCTAATGATTTTTAGCTATTTTTTTTCTGGTATTTACTTTATATTTTAAATCACCTGAATTTACTGCATTTTCTCTATGCCTTAGTTGTAGCCCTCATCTGTAGACGTCCTCCTGTGGTAGATGGATTCTGTTTCCTTTCCATCTCTCATTTTTCTAAAGTTGTATCACAGATTTTGGCCAAATTCATGTTCGCTTTATATTTAATCCTCATTTTCCAAAAAGGATTATTTTATAATTATATTCCCTTTTTTGTATACCTCTCATTTTTCCTGAAATTGCATCATTCTTTAAAAACTGGAAATTGGTTCCTTTGACTAGCTGATCAGTGAGCCTTTTCCATACCCTCATGGAGTGCCATCTACCCGGCACATGGTCAGGTCATTGAGCAGCTCAGTTTTTTTCCTCCCTCTCTGGAGGCGTCCCTCCTGGAGCAGTTTTAGTCTGAGTGGGTTGTTTCCTCAGCCCACTGCACAGATGTCAGATGAGCACATCCTCTGCTTTTCTCCTGTTTCCTGGATTTCATGTCTTCCTTGCGTCCTATTGTAGTTTACTCTCTTATTTTGATGAACATTCTTCAGAGGTTCCTTCAGAGGTTAATGGGTGTAAAATTTTGAGATGTAGTACATCTAAAAATGTCTTTATTCTCTCCTCACGCTATATTGCTAGCAGGCTGGGTTTAGAATTCTAGATTGTCATTTTTCCCTCAGTTTTTCAGGCATTGCTTGATTGTCTTCTGGCTTCCATTGTTCCCAGAACACAATGAAGCAATGCCTGAAAAACTGAGGGAATCATAACGGCATCAGACCTCTTCGTTGTGGATTCCTTTCCGTTATGATTCCTGATCCTTGGTTATGATCTATTTTTTTCTCTGCGGAAGTGTTAGAATCCTCTTTTCCTTAGGTGTTCTGAAATTTATACCTGTTAATCGTAATTTTTCTTTTTTCTTTTTAGCTTTTTCTACCCAGTTTTCTCTTCTACATTGAGCATTGCTTCTTGATTGATGACGCTGCAGTCAGAGATGAAGCCCTAGCCATTTTGGCCAAGCTCATTCTGAACAAAGCTGCACCTCCCACGGCTGGCTCCATGGCAATTGAGAAGTACCCTCTGGTTTTCTCACAGCAGACAGTGGAGTAAGTTCTGCATCTTTATTCTCTGTATTTTTGGTAGGCTCATCCACTGAAAAATAATGCATTAACAGTACTGTGAAAACTGGAAAGATGTCTGTGATATATTATGTGGAAAAAGCAAGTTGTAGAAGGGTATGTGAAGTAAGATCCCATTTTGTAAAGGTAAAAAGTGTAGGAAAGCATAGGGAAACCGATGGAAGATACAAACAGGTTAATTTGGTTAATGTCAGGATAGTAAGTTGAAGATGTGACTGGTAAATTTTTTTAACCTTTAAAAAAAAATGTTCACGTGCAATTGAAAGAAATAGTACAAAGAGGTTCCATATACCCTTCATCCAGTTTTTGCCAGTGATAACATCTTATATAAGTTCACTGCACTATCACAACTAGAAAATTGACAATGGTGCAATGCGCAATTCCATTTATGTAATATTTTGTACCTACAGCTAAAACAAAGAATTCTTAGACTAGACATCAAAAACTTGACCTGGCATCAACCTTATTCAGAGTTATCGGTGTTGCATGCGCTTATCTGTGTGTGTGTGTGTGTGTGTGCGTGTGCGTGCGTGCGTGTGTGTGTGTGTGTGTGTGTGTAAGTGGTTATAAAGTTCTAGTAAGTTATGGCATGTGAAGTCAAGGTACAGAGCTGCTCCATCACTAGAGTGATCTTTGGTGCTGTAATGGCCACACTCACTCTACTGCTCCCCACTCCATCCCCGCCCCTGGGAACCACTAATTTATTCTCCATTTTTATAAATTTGGCATTTTAAGAATGTTATATAAATGAGTTGTACAGATCGCCTTTTGAGATTGACATTTTTCACTCAACACAGTTACCTTGAAACCCATCCAAGTTGTGTGTATCAGTAATCCATTCATTTTTATGTCACATGTCTTTTGACGTGCTTATTGCTGAGTAGTATTGTTTAATCAGTCACCTTCTGGAAGACAGTTCGGTGAAGCCCAAGTTTTGGCTATTACGAATAAAGCTGTTAGAACATTCCTGTACATAACTTTTTGTTTCTCTGAGCTAAATGCTGCAAAGTAGACGTGGATTATGTGATCAGTGTGTGCTGGGTGTTCTAAGAAACTGCCACGGGGTTGTCTGGAGAGGTCGTGCTGCTTTGTATCCTGGCGGCAGTGGGAGTGAGCCAGCTTCTCTGCGTCCTCAGCAGCACTGGGTGGTGGTGCTGTTTTTTATTTTTACCCGTCACTTAGGGTACAGTAGTATCTCATTGTAGTTTCAGTTTGCATTTCCCTAATGATTAATGATTTGAATATCTTTTCATATGCTTATTTGTCATGCCCATACCCTCCTTAGTGAAATACCTGTTCATTTCCTTCACCCCTTTTCTAACTCTATTGTTTTTTGTTTACCATGGAGTTTTGAGAGTGCTTTATATTTTGCAGGTGCACGTCCTTAATGTAAGATACACAAGTTGCAAATATTTTCTCCCAGTCTGTGTCTTTTCTTTTTTAGCTTGAAGGTTTTTCACAGGGCAGAGTTTTAAGTTTTGCTGAGGTCCAGTTTATCAACTCTTTTCTTTATGGGTAATGCGTTTGATGTCAATTCCGAGAACTCCGTGCTTAGCTGTAGATCCAAAATATTTTCTCCTATTTTTATAGTTTTATGTTTTACATGTAAGTCCATGATTCATTTTGAGTTTATTTTTATGTAAAGTATGAGGTTTTAGTCAAGTTTCTTTTTTTGCTTAGTATGTGTACTGCTCTGACAACATTTACTGAAGAGGCTTTTTTCCGTCACAGGACTGCTCTTGCACTTTTGTCAAAAAATCAGTTGGGCATTTATTTGTGGGTCTGTTTCTGGATTCTCTGTTCTGTCCCATTGATCTGCATGTCTATCCTATTCTAATACCACACTGTCCTGTTACTATAGCTCTAAAATAAGACTTCAAATCTTGAAAAAATATTCTTCTCCTTTATTCTTATTCAAAAATTGTTTTAGCTATTCCTGTTTCTTTGCATTTCTATATGAGTTTTAGAAGAACTTTATCTATGTCTGCAAAAAAGAAAAACACCCTGCCTAAGATTTTGTTTGGAATTACATTAACTCTATAGATGAATTTGGGGAGAATTGACATCTCCATAAGGAAACACAAAACTGTTGACTTTGTTTGCATCACATGGCTGACAAAGGAAGAAAGATGTGACTGTTAACATTGAGATCCTATACCTTTGCATTGTTTGAATTGTTAAAAGGGCTGTGGATTACTTTCTTCTATTAAAAACAATGCATACTCTGGACCATGAAGACAAAATTTATTTAAATATGTAAGAGGGTTCCTCTTACGCTCTTTCAAATAGAGTGGGTATGCTTCTAGAAATTATAAATTAGGAAACTAGTTCCATTACATGTCTATAGATAGGAATACATAGGAATAAATGATTTTCTTATTTCTTTTGGATTAGTTAGGCCTGCTGCTGCATGCCTTGAGTTTGTGCTGAGTAATCAGCTTTGAAGCAACAGCATCCCTTGAGGTGGTTGTTATTGTCCCCCCCAGTCACGCAGAGTTAGTTTTTAAGTCTAATCAGCATGTGATTCTGAAGAAACCCATCTTCTTCACACTTTGCTGGTCTTGCCGACCTTAAAGTAGCTTCTCTTTGAAAACACACTCAACTTTGCTGAGCTCTGATTCCTGAGGAATGGGTAATGAGTAACCCCTGCAGAATTATTCCCTTGGAACTTTTCTTTTAATTTTGCAACACCAAGCCTACAGATTCCAGCAGACAGATTCCTCGCAAGTGGCCAAAACTATGGGTCTGGGCAATGAGCTGCTTTGTTGGCCTTTGAGAAGTGAAGCCAAGGGCCCAACTGAGGCTGCGGATCAGACCTTCTCACACTGTGGCCTCAGCCATCTCAAATCCTTCTTAGAATGTGACATAAGTATAAAAAAATTAACATAGGCATATTGACATAAGACGAGTGCCACAGCTTCTGTGTTCAGTTCTCTGAGAAAACCTCCTTCTGCCACCTTCACAGAAATAGGATATGTGTGAACGGTCAGTCACCTTGAAAAGGCTTTCTTCCTTTGCAGAGATGACATTCTTGAGGGAGAGTATGTGAGGCAGGGAAACAAACAAGATAACTTTCTATAGTAATAAAAAGGAAAATAAAACAGGGTATCGAGAGGGAAAGTGAATGGAAAAGCAGTAGTCCTCTCTGGAAAAGGGGACCTATGTATCTGATGCAACAATGGAAGGAGCCTGCCTGGCCAAGAAAGGCTAGGCCATAGGGCTTTCCAGGCAGAAGGAAGAGTTGCAAAGGCTGTGGGACAGGAATAAGCCCAGGAAGTGTGAGGAACAAAAAGAAAGCCTGTGTGGGTAAGGAGCACTGAGCTAGGAGGAGAGTGGAATGAGGAAATTAGCAAAGTAGGCGAGGGTCAGATCACTTGGAACTGCACAGAAAGAGCCAAGCGGTGTGGATTTTGTTGGAGGAGCCATGGCAGATGTAACGAAACAAGGGAATGACGTGACTGCTAAGGACGCACTTTTTTAAAGCATCTTGATATTTTATTTGTAAGATTTTTGCAGGTTATTCAGTCCCGGTTAGTACTAGAAAGACTATATACCAAGATGCAGTGACTTTTAGAAACTGCAAGGGGAATTAACTATATAATAACCTTCAAACATTCAATATCCTGATAAGTATGAAACAAGATGGAATGCAACTTTCTGGTTCATTTTAATTATAAAAGGGAATAAAAATCTGGTAATTTCACTTCTCTTGTGTAACAAGGTAAGCAAGCTAAACATGGTGGATAAATTATAAAAACATCATTTTACGTGTTTCTATGATTTTTCTTTTGATTAGATTTGTCTTAAAGAGGACTGAGGTATATTTCATTGGCAAAAATAGAAGGAGGATACAAGAGTGCCAGAGTAGCAGATACTTAAAACTGAATGCCATATCAGAAAACATCCCTGAGGAAACACTTACCAGATTGAAGCAGCAGAGAAAGTTAACTTCTAAATCATAATCATTTTAGTGACTTTTGTCACATGCACTACAATAACTTTTGTGACATCCTTCCACTTTTGTAAAGTACAGTGCTCTCCCCTTAACCTGCGGAGGATACGTTCCAAGGCCCCCAGGGATGCCTGAAACCTCAGCTGGTACTGAACACTATGTATATTGTGTTTTTTTCCCTCTGCATACATACATACCTATGATAAAGTTTAACTTATAAATCAGGCACGGTGAAAGATGAACAATAACCAATAATAAAATAGAACAATTATAACAATGTACTGTAATAAAAGTTATGTGAATGTAGTCTCCCTCTCACAAAATAATTACTGTACAGCACTCAGCTTTTCACTTACAGGAAGCGGTTTACGGTTTCTTTTTGACATATCTGAATTGCCAGAATCCCTACCCTCGTGTTTGGGGGCCTTTATTAAATAAAATGAGAGTCACTTGAACACAAGCACTGTGATATCTTGATAAGCAAGACGGCTTCTAAGGGACTAACAGGCAGGTAGTCCCCCCCCTACAGCATGGAGAATCTGGACAAAGAGCTACCGGACATTGTGGGTGGTGCGGAGCAGGATAGTACAAGATTTCCTCACACTCCTGAGAACATGCCTTTGAAAACATATCAATTGTTTATTTATGAAATCATCTAGCAAAACTGCAGATAAGGGGTGGGGGAGAACTACTATAGTAAAACTATGTCAAAAAGGAAAGGGGAGGGTGAAGTCAGTTTATTCCAATGAATTCTCTCTCCAGTTTATTCCAATAAATTGTCTTTAAAAAGTATAGGGCCCAACACATAACTCCCCTTTTTTATTACAAAATCATAAGCATGTAATTCTTTAACATAACAATATCACACTCAGGCACACCATATGACATTTTTTGTGAAATATTCAAATTAAAAGTATAAATTATTACACCCATATATTACACCACCAACCACATTCAAGCAGGTGTTACTTCTACCAGGCCCTGTATGTTTATCAGCACGACATTTGGAAATACTTAAAATTAGAAAATACTTATTTTAAGTTATGAAGCAAGTTAAAATAGAAAACAGAAGAAAGCTGAACCAGTGGGGTTGAAAAAGGTTCTTCCTCAAAATCAGTAAATGATATACATTTGTTTGATTGTTCACGTTCAACCACCCCCTCCCTCATTTTCTCCTTTCCCCAAATGCTCCATGCATGGAAAGGAGCCTACTTGTATTTCAGACTTCTTAAAGCAAGAGCAATTACATTCTGTTCTATTTTAAACATTTGTTTATCTTTTCTTTTTTTCAGATCCTATATAAAGCAGAAGACCAGATCCAAGGGAGAAAAGGAACAGAACCCAGTGTTGGACCACCTCTTATCTATAATTCAGTTACCCCCAAATAAAGATACTACTTTCCTTTCACATTCTTGGGCGACTCTTGTCGTGTTACCTCATATTAGGTGAGAAAAGAAACCATGTTTTATTTTGAAAGAGACACTTAGCATGTTGAGTAAACCTTTATTAGCCATTCCTTGCTATTCCATGAAAAGCCAGTTTGAACTTTTCCTTTTCCTCCCCACTTTCTGGATAGACCTCTTGAGAAAGAGAAGGTGATACCATTAGTCACATGCTTCATAGAGTCACTCTTCATGGCTGTTGACAGAGGAAGCTTTGGTAAAGGTCAGTAATAATTTCCCTTTGTTCTCTTGTCTTCTCTCTGGCACACCCAAAGTCATTGTTAATCCACAGAATACCAGAGAATAGTACTAGCATTGTGTTCTGGCATAACCTTCTATGGGAAAAATGGAAAAAAGAGGGCAAGGGGGAGGGGTTGCACTTGGACTTCAGAACCTGGTGACCCAGGTTAGGGCGGCTTGAACATAAGCTGAATTTGAAGGTCAAAGAAATAAGACCCCTCCCCGTCCCCAAATTCTTGAGCCCCAGCCTGTGTTTTTGTTCCCTGTGTCCCATGCCCAGTCTGTTCCTGGTATTTACCTTATTCTCCAGGCACTTGCTTATCCTCTGCAACACACTTCTTTTTCCAACCCTCCGGCTGCCCTTGTACATGCCCTTGTTCCTTCTTCCTGGAGTTTTTTCTAGGTCTCTGTTGTTTCGCCAGTGCATTTTTCAGAACTCAGCTTAAGCACAGCATCTCTAGGAAGATGACTCTTGCAGGCGGAATTTGACCACTCTGCCCAAAACACCTTTTCCTAACATATACTTGTACATCTCCCCTCATCAGCCTGAGAATAGCAATTTAAAAGTAGGTATTTTGTTTTATTCTAGAACAGTATTTTTTTTCCCCCTAACAGTAGTCATTCATTCATTTAACTATTAAGGTGCCGGACTGTGTTAGATGCTAAGTACTCATTAGAGTATGAGGTAGACCTATCACATTTCAAGGGCTCATCCACACGTGACTACTGGCTACCTTTCATACTGGACTGTGGCTGCTTCTTGGCCTGAGGAAGAACATTCCTACCATTGCACAAAGTTCCATTGGACAGCACCGTTCTCAAGTCTGGAGCAGGGCTTGGCAAAATGTTTATATAAAGCACTAGTTAGAATTTTAGGTTTTGTGGGCCACTTTCAGATTTGAGGTGTATTTTTTGTTTGTTTTAAACAACCCTTTAAAAATGTAAAAAAAGAAACTTCACCTTGCCAGCCATAAAAGAACAGATTACCTATAAGATTTGACTTGTTGGTCTTAGAAAAACAGATGTTGGCCAACATCTGTTGTGGTATTAAATGAATGTGTAATTAATGTTAATTAAGTGGATTATGGGTGGCAGCCCTTGGATACGCAACTCCTTATAAATTGGAGACATAAAATCACCGTGGGTTTTATATGAAGATAACATCTTCACTTTCAAAAAAGTCCAGTTCTCCTTTCCTCATAAGTTGTCATTTCGATCATGCCAGTCAGTAGAACCATTGAACTTCCTCCTCATCTCAGTTAATGGAACATACATTTTTATTCTCAAATTCTGAATATGTTTTTCTGTTAAGAAAGTGAAAATCTAAGACTTCTATTTTTAGTTTCCTTCTGTTAAATTCTGACATTCGAGAGATAATTCTTTACAAGGCTCAAATTTAACTTAAGTTTGTATAAATAGCAAGTGTCAGATAAATGAGATGCCTGGTAGTTATTGTGTCAAAGATAGAGGTAATGTGGGTCTTTTGTTTTTCTGCCTTTAGGAAACTTATTTGTTCTCTGTCAAGCTGTAAATACTCTGCTAAGTTTGGAAGAATCTTCTGAACTTCTTAATTTGGTTCCCGTGGAACGTGTGAAGAATTTAGTATTGTGAGTAGACATATTTTCCATTTAACTTAATGAATAAACTATAAAAGTTTATGTTTTTGTTAAATCTTGGGCATAATAAGTCCTATTTTGATCCATTTTATACCTGAGCTATATTCACATAGGAGATGTAGAATTGATTTAAATGCTCCCATTAAAATGCAGTTCTTGACAGTCTTCAAATACAGATTCATCTTGTTAAAGGGGCATTTTACGGTATGTGTGAACTAGTATTGCAGAATTTGTAAAGGGTATTTAATGCTGATTCCTCCCAACCATAACATTACAGTGGTGCTGACCTTCTGTAACTTGTTGAGCGGTTCCAACATAACACAGTCCTCCTACTTTCATGTTCTATCTCAGCTTGATGCAGTCAGCATTTCTGGAAACTTCCCTGTGACCCTCTCACACACCAGAACAGTCCGGTTTCCTTAAGTTTCTGGTTTGGGTGTTAGTACGGGCCCATTGGCCATTCACTGGTCACCTTAGCGCCCTTTCTAAAGGACAGGCCTTCCGAAAACCTAGTGAAGTGGTTTGCCTCTGTTTCTGAAGTCCAGAACATTTTATCGCCATGCTTTTTAAAAACAGATTTATTCATATTCTTCTTTCCATAAATATTCATTTACTGTACCAGGTCCTATTTTAAGCACTGGTAGACAGAGTGAAGGAAGCACAAAATTCCCTGACTTCCTGAAACTAACATGCTAACAAGAAGAGACAATAAACAAAGTGAATAAGTAAAATAAATAGCACGTTAGGTGGTGATAAGAAAATTAAAGCAGAGGCAGGGGACAGGGAGAGTCTGGAGGTTGGGGGCAGTAGCAGTTTTAAATAGGGAAGGCCTCGCCGGCGAGGATACATGGGAGCAGAAACCCAGAAGTGGCGCAGGAGTGCCCCACGACGATGCCAGGCTCTGCGGCTCCCGTCCAGCCTCAGGGAGGAGGGAGCACCCGTGGCGGGGGCTGGGGGACAGTGCTCGTTCCAGCCGCAAGGAGCTCCTGTGGCTGATCAGGGCAAGGAATGGGTAGGAGGACAAGAGGACATAGAAGTGGGGGTGGCAGGCAACGTATGCCCTTTGGCCGTTACAGGTCCTTGGCTTTTACTTCCGAGTGGAAGGGAACATCAAGGAATTTAGAGGCAGAGGAGTGACTTAGGCCTAAATAGGATCACCCTGGCCACTATACTGAGAAGAGACTGAAGGGGAGTAAGAAAAACCAGTTGGGATCGCTTTACATTTACCCTTTACCACCTCCCCCTCAAATAGCACTCCTGTTCACCCCCTCCCCGTCTCCCTTCCACCCTCACAACCCACTCTGTCGGTCTGGTAAGTCCATGATTTCCTTCTCCCCGCCACACTCCGCACTGTCACACTGGTCGCTAGTTACGTACTCACTACCTTCTCCTGTTAGAATGTAAGCACCAGGAGGTTAAGGACTTTGTCTTTGTTTACCGATCTATCCAGTGTCTTAGAAGAGTCACTGGCACAAAATAGACACTCAGTAAATATTTGTTAAGGGAGGATGGCACACGGAGGTTAAGCAGCTTGCCCAGGCTCATGCTACTGGCGGGTGACGGGGCTGCCCTACCCCAGGGCCTGTGTGCCGGACCGTCCTCTGCACTGCCTCCCTCATTAGCTCAGTGTCGGCATAATTTACAACTGTATAGACCGAAAAGGTCGCATTGGATTTTAGTCAAAACAGCGGTTCTAATCTCTCCTCTGCCTCTAGCCACTGTGTGTCCTTGAGCATGTCACTCACTGTCACTAGACCTCGGATTCATTTCTAAAATGACGCTAAATGTCTGTATAAAACTTTTGTCTGTTCCTTTTTATGTTTCCTTCATCAGTAATAATTTTCTGTTGTAGTCCAAATGCTCTGGAGTTGATGGGACAGTGTGGGCCTAATGATGATCTTGTTGCAGAATGTTTCCATTGGAGCCGTCTGTGTTGCTGTTGGCTGATCTCTATTATCAGAGATTATCCTTGTGTGGCTGCAAAGGGCCAATTTCTGAAGAAGCTTTGATGGAATTATTTCCCAAATTACAAGCAAACATTTCAACTGGCATATCCAAGGTAACACTGTTTGGTGGTTGTGTTCCCTGTCTCTGTGTGTGGCCAATGTCTGCCCCAGCTCCTTCATCAGAAACTGCTGCTGGGGGGTGATTTCTGTTTAATGCAGTGATTCCTGACACTGACCTGCAAACTGACTGCAGCAGGTCTAATTGGGGTACATTTTCATAATTTTATAAAACTTAGATCTCACTGACTATTAATCAGTTCCTTCTTATGTTTAAACTTGGGACTTTGAGACCCTTCTTTTACTTTCTCTAGATCCGGCTTTTAACAATAAGGATCCTAAATCACTTCGAGGTTCGACTTCCGGAACTAATGGAGGTACTCTTTTTAACTGTTCAGTTTGGATAACTTTTTATAAATGTCATTTCATATGTGTTTTTATTTCCAAAATTATAATTTCATAGAAAATTCACTTTGTAAATATCTGCCATGAAAATTGAAATTTTTTTTTGGAATTATTATTCCCACGACACCAAGGCCACCGCTGAAAATCCACTGCTAATTGGTGAATATTTTTTCAGACTTTTATATACACACATAATTTAAACTAATGATGTCATGAAGGTTTTTCTGTATCAGCACCTCTGATCCTATATTATTTCTTTTGAAGTTTGAATAGCAGCCCACAGTTTAAAATACTTTATTTAACCAATTCTCTATTGATGGATGCTTAGATAGGTTATTCATAAATTTTCAGGATTGCTAGTAATACTGCAGCAAACATCCTTACACAAATATTTTTATATAGGGAAATATTTCCATAATGCAAAGTATTACTTCTTGGGGTAGAAATTACTTCTACCAGAGGTATATATATAGAATTATATAGCAGAAATATGTACACATTTTCTTTCAACAAATGTTACCAATCTATTTGAATCATTTTTAGAATTGCTTTCCTTTTTTTTAAAATTTTTTTATTTTTTATTATTTCTATGCTAGATCCTAAACCTGAATTATCTACTGGAGAATCAGTGGTGGGAGTAAAAATGAATCATTTACTACCCCTCGCCCCCCCCCCAAAAAAAAAGTATTGCTTATTTTACTTAAAACATTAACTTATCCCAGTTTTTTTTTTTTTTTTTTAGACCTTTGGTCGCATTTAACGTTTTTTTGGAAAATCACAGTACTAACATGTCTCTTGCTTTCCCCTGGCTGTTTAGGATGACGGGCTCTCGGAGCATCAGTCTGCCTTTGCTATACTACGCCAGGCAGAACTTGTCCCAGCAACTGTGAATGATTACAGAGAGAAGCTTCTTCACTTGAGAAAACTAAGACATGATGTGGTACAGACTGCAGTCCCTGATGGGCCGTTACAGGAGGTATAAAACACTGTCATTTTTTTCCTTCTGTTTATGCTTTTAGATTTGTTTGGCTGACTCTTGAAAAGAGAAACATACCAAATGGTCATCCCAAATAATAATTTTTAAAATTAGATAAATCCTTAGTTCTCTTAGGTCCTTTGAGTTGGATGGCCCTGTCAGCCACTTCAGTAGTGGTGGGAACAATTTCCTGTCCCTTCTCTCCTGAAGATGTGTCCCCTGTGGAAGGTAGGGAGTAGTAAGTGACGACAGGAGGACTCAACGTTAATTTAAAGCCTGATCTTCTCCAGATTTGTTCATTGCTGCAACAGGATTTTCTGTCCATGACCCTTGAAGACACATCACGGGTCCCTTGGGGAGGAAGGCCAAGGGGAGGCATTCTCCTTGCCATCAGAGCAGTTCTGTTCTTAGTCTGCTTTGTGTGTTAGTATCCTGTGTTATGTTCTGCTGCTAAAACAGTTAGAAACACCCCCAAATAATAACAGAACTACCATTCTGCATGATGCCTCCCTAGCACATGAGGATACTAGCTATGCCTCTCCTTGCAAAAGGCAACTGAGAAAACTTTAGACTCTGAATGGAACTCCTTTAATGCATGGTTTTTCTTTTCTTATTTTTTAAATCCTCACCTGAGGATGTGTTTATTGATTTGAGAGAGAGAAACGCAGAGAGAAACTTTGGTGTGAAAGAGAAACATCAGTTGGTTGCCTCCCATACAGTCCCCGACTGGGGATCAAGCCCACAACCTAGGTATGTGCCCTTGCCAGGGATTGAACCTGCAACCTTTCAGTGTATGGGATGATGCTCCAACCAGCTGAGCCACCCGGCCAGGGCTAATGCATGATTTTGAGAACTCAGACATCTGCTTGTGAGGCCACAGCTGCCATTCCCAGCAGACTTTCTTGGGTTCCTTGGCATTCTGTTCAAGTTTTGCCTTTTAAGGTAATGGTGGTGGCAGTGTTTGTTAGGAGGGAATTCAGTCGTGAGTCTAATCTGTTTATCTAAATATATCCTTTGAGCACGAACAGCTGGAGTGAGTTTGAACACTACATTTGTTTTAGTGGTTCTTCAGTTTGATAAATAGCAAGTGACATTTTGGGGAGAGTCGGATCTATTACTCAGTTTTTTGATTTTGTACCAACAACTTTTTCATAAAGCACAAGCTTCTTTCCAAACCCCTGGCTGTCTGAATTGGGATATTTGCATCTTGGTGCCATTCTGTTGCGGTTCGTTACCCATTTACTAAATGAGTCTAATTGCAGGTGCCACTTCGTTATTTATTAAGCATGTTGTACATTAACTTCAGTGCTCTCTGGGATCCTGTCATTGAACTCATAAGGTGAGCATACATTAAATGGATGAAGCCGCTATGTTTTAACTACTGCAGAATGATGGAGCCAGTGTTATACTCCTTCTAGGTGTGATTTAAATAATGTGTGGAATATTTATAGCCACCATAAATCCTTTGTGGAACAAGGTGAAGAAAAAGTAAACAAATTATTCTGTGTGATGCCAAGTTTTTCAACAGTTCAAATGTTACGTGTCTGTTTCTTTGTACATTGAAATAATTTTGGAGGACTATTTTTACTTTAAATGGTACATCTGTATTGTTGAATTTTTTCAGTAACAAAGTATAGTATACTAATTGCATACTTTTATTTATGTATATTGAATCATTGAGCCAAACTTCAATTTTAAAAATAAGGACTTAAAAACCCATGCTGTCTAGCATCCAAAAATCCCTTTAGCTCTAAAAAGGACTTTAATAATCACATAGAAAATACATATGCTGTGCCCCACATGTAGAAATCTGTTCTTTGGCAGATGTTTGACTTAGATGGTCTCCTCTGGCTTTTTGTCAGATTGGAAATATGTCATGTGTGGCTTCTCAAAACCCTAACTATTAGTTTTTGTTTGACAGAACCAGAATAAACAAATCCATTTCCAATTTGGAACCAATTTGTTTGCCACTTACAGCCCTTTAAAGCCATCCGACCAGTTTATTGGAAGCAAGACCTCTAACACCAACTTCATAACTTTGTTTATTGCACTTCAGGAAGAATCTGACATGTATTACCAATAGCCCACTACCAAAATTACTAGCTCCTCGATTACTGAGTGCCTTTTATGGTCTTCCATATCTGGCTGGGCTCTCCTACTGTCGGGTGCATCTTTCAGAATAACGACTTATTTTTTACAGATAGTCAACAACAAATATAGTTTGTTTCCTGTATAAAGTTTATGCATAGTCTTAGAAAACTAATGACCAAAAAGAATATAAACATTTTGAGAATGTTGTTGTTAGGATATCAAATTATCTGAACACATGATTGAGCTAATTTAAGCTCTGAAAGGTATGTGTCATGCAGTTAGTGAATATTTATTTTACCTTTGTATTAATAAGTCTACTTGAACTTGGTGGGTGAAAAGTCAGCATTTTAAAGTTAGCTTTGAACAAACAGTTTTGTGGTGGTTACCCCGGCCCCGATAGATGCCTGTCCTTCCCTTAATGGGTTATACCTCACACCCCATGCCCCACTCCTATCATTGTGCCTTAAAAATAGTGTTCTAATGGGTATCTACTTAGGTTTTTTAAAATATTGTTTAGTGTTTTTTGACTAAAAATTATTTGTGGTCAGTGCAGGCATTTTGAAGAATATAGAAAGATACAAATGTTGTTTATAACCTCACATTCAGGGATGACTTAATTAATATTTTAGTTATATTTCATTCTTTTTTTTTTTCCTATGAGATATCTCAAAATAAGGGTTATATCACCTATTTTGTTTTGTGATCTTTTTTCTTAGCTCTCATGCACATGAAATGGAAAATAAAAAATTTTGGAAAGTTTACTATGAACATCTAGAAAAAGCAGCTACGCATGCGGGTATGTAAAAGGGCATCGAGTGGGACTGGGGAAAAAAGTGGTTGTTTAGGTTGAATTTTACTGATCAATTACACATGAAGTCGGGAAACAGAAATGAGAAATGTGTTATCTTAGATAGCCTTTGGATATGGTGTATTGTTCTCCTATATTCCTAGAGGAAGGAATGTCTTTACTTAAACTCAGAGGACAAATGTTAACATTTCTGTGGTCACAATGTGACTTCTTTTCTTTCAGAGAAAGAACTGCAAAATGATATAAGAGATGAGGAGGAGCCCTTTGGAAGTGAAAGCTGGGAGCAGACTCAGGAAGGAGATGTCGGAGCGCTTTATCTTGAGCAGTTGTCATTGAAAACCAACTGTCAGGAAAGACTGGACCATACGAATTTTCGATTTTTGCTGTGGCAGGCTCTGGCGAAATTCCCAGAAAGGGTAGAGCCACGGTCCAGGGAGCTTTCCCCACTTTTCTTGAGATTCATCAAGTAAGTGTTCTCTTTTTGAAATATGTTTCTGGTTAAGTTATTCGCAGTACCTGCAAGAGAAGGTACAATGTATTAAGCTCCCAAATTGGCTGATTCTTTCTACATCTGTCATGCTTGTAAATGATTGGCACATCCGTAAAGCACTGGCTCTGTCAGCGCACAACTAAACTAGTTTGGTTCACCACTTAATTTTCCATGAATTTAACCAGCTCACAAATAGTGTTAATAAAAAATTTCAGGTTACAAAATAAAAAGGGCCATAGTGAGTGAGCTCAACGTACAAAGACCTTGCTATTTCTCACTCTGTTTATTCATTGTTTTATTGTCTGCCTGTAGCTTCAAAGCATTTTCCAGTAAGTCAACCCAGCCAGTCTGTTTTGAACCTCTTGAATGTTTCCCATGATACTGAGGAATGTACTCTCAAAAAAATAACAACATTCTGGAGCATTGTTCCATTTTGACTGGATGAGCTGTGTAAGAATTGAATGGCTTTACAACTAAACATAAGGAATGTAGTATGCAGAACAGTACTAGTTAATCAATGAAGATATGTTTTCCAATACTATTTCATGACTTGGGAAGATGCTGTAGGGCTAAGTTCAGCAGGCTGCCAACCGCAGCGTGCCAGGCTTGTCCAGGGCATCGCAAGGAAATCTGAGTGGCGACACCAGTGATCCCTGAAGAGAGTAGTTGGCGATGAGGGCAGAAAAGTTAAGAGACCAAGTTGCATAGGACTTTTAAATGATGGGGAGGATTTTGGTTTTTATTGTCGTTGAAATGGGAAGCTGCTGGAAGGTTTAAACGAGATGACATGACTTAGGTTTTCGTAAGGAGTTTTCCGGCTGCTGTGTTGAGAAAGTACGATGGTGGTGGTGAGTCGTGAGAGGAAAGAGTTAGGCGCAGATTGCAGGAATCTGGGGAAGGATAGATGGTGACTGGACCGGCACTTTACGGTAGTGTGGATAATGTGAAGTGGTTGAACTCTGGCTATTTTTGAAGGATTTCAATTCAATAAGATATATTTTTGAAGAATTGCTACTAGGTTAGCCTTTGGACTTTGCCAGCAGAACAGATGTGTCACAATGGGGCCAAGTTTGAGTGAGGGGCAGGAAGGAGGAAGGGGAAGGATCAACCATGTCTCTAAGGGTTTGGCCTTAGAGTTACCTACCATTTACTGAGACTGGGAGTAATGCAGAAGTTTGCAGATTTGCAGAGAAGATCAAGAGTCATCTTTAGACGTGGTTAGCTTGAGATACTGAATAGACGTCTAGTAGAGATGTTGAGTAGGTACTTGAATTTAGGATTTAAAGTTCAAGGAAAAGGTTTGGACTAAAGATAATAAATTTGCAACACGTCAGTATATAGATGGTTTTTAAAAATTATGGGCAGGGAATTAAATCACATCTTGGCATGTAAATGTAGAGAAAGATTCCTAAGGACTGACAATGATATTTAAAGATTGGGAGGTAAAGGAGCCAGGAAAAAATGATAAAAGAACCAGGGCCACATAGTATTCCTTGAAGAAAGAATTCCAAGGAGGGAGTGATCCGTGGACTCAGATGTGCCTGATACACCAGTCAGGCGAAGAGTAAGAATTGACCATTGGCTTTGGAAGTGACCCTAACATGAGTTGTTTGGGTTAATCTGGTAAGGATGAAAGCCTGATTAAAATGAGATAATAAGAGATAACAGAGAAGGAAAATGGAAATAACAAGTATGAACAGTTCTTATTTAAAAAAAAAAACCAGCATCAGCAGACATAGGTAGAGGGAGATGCGGGAGCAGAGACGGAGCTGTGGTCGGGGGGGCTGTGTGAGATCTCAGCAGCATGTGTGTATGTAATGGTGCTGTGAGAAGTCCAGAAGGGAAGGGAGAATTTTTAGTGCAAGAGGAGATAAAATTGTTAAAGCCATGTCTTTGAATAGTTCAGAGGAGACAGGATTCCATGCATAAATGAAAAGGTTTGCATGAATAATTCACTCTGGCAAAGGTTCCAGGCAAAGATGCGGGCAGGTCAGTAGATGGGATGGTAAAAAAGTAATGATTTTCTTTTTTATGTAACTCGTTAGTCTTTAATTTATTTATAGAATGAGAACGGTAATATTTAGCTGTCTTGCCTTGTTTTGAAGATCATGTAAAATAATGTTTATCAGTTATTTGTGAATTGCAAAAGGCTACGCATATGCAAGCTGGTATTAATGGTGTTAGTAGGATATGAATTTCCAACCATGTTAATTTTTAGGTTTTTCCCTCAAAAAATAGATTACCCCTTAACCTAAAGATAAAGACCTTCCTCCAATAGTCTCTGAGTTTAAGAAGACTTAGAGATGAAAGAGAGAGAGTTTTGTAAAATATTTAAATTAAGAATAGATGACCTGTAACTAATACTTTTCCAGATGATCCAAACTAATGGAAAACCCAAATGCCACTGTTAATTCTGGCTTTCAGATATTTTAGCGGCTTTTTTTATTTTTGTCTAGAAATTTACCTTTCTAAATATGTGTCAAATAATTTGATGTTTGACCTAATTTGTGAATCCCTTGTAAACATTCTCTGAGAAGAATCTTACCAAGAATCAAGCAGGAATGAATGACTATCAATGGCTAAAACATCCCAATAATACGTAACGGTGACACTTAATGAATGAGTACTTGCTATGTAGATACTTTTGTAAGTGTTTTGTTTGACTTATCTTATTTAATAAATGTATGAGTCAGCATGTTGTGCATAGCGATAAAGGTAAAATATGTCGTGATTAATTGAATGTCGAGAGTATAATACAGATGTTATTAAATCAGTTATGATATAGTTTGTAACTGACAGAGCAACTTTGTTCAATTCATTTATTCATCCATTTTTTGATTATTAATTGCTAGATCCCTGCTACCTGAGAACACAAAGTTGAATATGGTAGCATTTCAAGCCCTCCAGTAGTAGTTTAGTTTATTAACCTGGACTTTCCTCCAGGTGTGTTGATTAAGGTAATATCCTAAAATGTGCTCTTTTATCAGTATTTTTTGAGTGAGGACTTCAATGTCTGATGAATTCCCTTACACCTGTATCTTAGTGCTATGTACAACACAGACAAGAAAACAATAATTGTTGGATGAATGAGTTAAAGTAACACAAAATAATGAAGTGAATGGCAGTGACAGCCTTCAAGATAGTATCAGTTAGTTACCTTCAACAATGGGCCAAAATTAAAGGATGGAATTCATTAGGAACAAATGTGAATACCAACTGCACAAACTTCATTTAGAGGAAACAAACATGAAGACTTAACTAATTTTTTGCGACTGCCCAAAAAGCAGTGCAGTTGTTAGTTCCATCTGTCTTATCAGACTGCTTACCTAGAGGACTGGATTTCATTACAGCCGTATACAACGTAGATATATCTGGTTTAAAAATGATTAACATGGCCTTAATGCTATGCTTTCAGTATTTACCATAAACCACTCCACCTGCCTCCCTTAGTTGTGTTTTTAGAGACAGGGAGGCTGATTTCAGCTCAGTCCAAAGCAGACATTTCAAATATTTTCAGCAGTGTAAAGTGGTGTGGGGCTGTCTGCTGCAGTTAGCCACTGACTTGCTAAGCAGGGTGCTTCAGAGGGGCTGACTACCAAAGAATAATGTTGTTGAAGAGGCTTGACTTAAGGTGCCTGAAATGTCTCTTCCATGTATGATGCTGTGAACCGTGGACATGCAGCTGCCACAGGCAGAATTAGGACACTTTGGCTCTGTCTTCCTCGTGTCTCTCTTTCCCCTGCAGCAATGAGTATTACCCTGCAGACCTGCAGGTTGCGCCAACCCAGGATCTGAGACGAAAAAGCAAAGCAGTGGCGCTCGAGGAAACGGAAGAAGAACCTGCTGCTGGAGACGATGAAGAGCTGGAGGAAGAGGTGGTGCCCCAAAATGAACCCTCACAGAAGAAAAGGACAAGAAGAGCTGCAACAAAGTAAGTGCAGCATTGCTGCTGGATCCTAGATCCACGGGTCTTGGGGGAACAGGTGGAGACCTCCGAGGGCCTAGATGGGAAAAGGCCTCGGGCAAGAGGACCTGCCCAGATCATTATTGCCCTAAGTGCTGTGTGTCTCTGGGTTTTGGGGTTTTTTTTTTTTGTTTTCTTTCTTTCTTTTCTTTCTTTTCTTTTCTTTCTTTTCTTTTCTTTTCTTTCTTTCTTTCTTTCTTTCTTTCTTTCTTTCTTTCTTTCTCTCTCTCTCTTTCTTTCTTTCTCTCTCTCTCTTTCTTTCTCTCTTTCTCTCTTTCTTTCTTTTTGTTTTTTACAGCTCAAAGAAAATTCAGTCTTCTATGGTTTTTGGTGGTTTGCTTTTTTTCCCTTGTTTAACCACAAAATGTTAGAATTGGAGTCACTTAATCTCAGCTTTTTTTTAATGCATGAAAGCACCCGGGCCCAGAGCTGTTAAACACTCTTTGACTTCTGTTGTTCATTTTCCCTAGTGCCAGGGCATTAGGTCTGCGTTCCAGGGAGATGTGTAATAGGACATCTCTCCTCTCACAGATGAGTGTGTCAGCACTTCCGCTTTGCCTTCTGACGTTCTCCTTCTGGTTCCTTTTTTTTCTGTGCTGTTATATTCTCTTTCATTCTCTGATTCTCTGGGCAGTTTGTTTACCTAATTTGTTAGAAACCTTAGAGAAATAAGAATATATTTCTATTCTTATTTATATATAAAAGATCATACATGTAAAAGTTGCTCCAGCTACTTGAAGATTATCTGATTTGGGGTGTCAGAGATGCACTGGATTTGGTGCTGCTGTGTTGTTGTAACACTTTAGATCTTAATCTACGTCCATTTCTTGAGTTGTTCCCATGAGCCATTAGTTCATCCATTCAGCAACTGTATGAGTGCCTTTTGCCAGTTGCTGGGCTGCAGAGATGGACAGTATATAGCCTCTGTAAAGCAGGAAGCACAGCCTAATGCTTAGTGAAATATTTCCATAGGGCAAATATTTTTAAAGGAGTTATGAGAGCACAGTAAAAAATGACAATTCTACCACAAAGGGAAGACTTTAACTAAGTATAAGATACCTTTGAAGCAGAAAGACAAAAATTTGCCAGCAGCTAAGGCAGGGATGGACTTGCCAGCTACAGGAAATAGTGTGTAATGCACAGAGGCAAGAAAGGTCATGGCCAAGCATCGTGAAACTGTAGTTTCTTCTCTGCTTCTGTCTTCTCACAGCTGTGAAGGATCTGTCCCCTGCTGCTTTCTCTAAGATTGCTGTTTTCCTTTTTATATCCTTCAGCATAATAGCCAGCAAAAGGTTAGTCCTCCTATTTGTTTGGTGGATAAATGAGTAAGTTATTTATCCAGTCAGACCTGACCCTTTCTCTCCCTGAACCTTCCCGATTTCTGTGGTGTCTTTGCCTAATTTCTGCCAAATGAAATTCTGTTCGTGCTTCCAGACACAGCTCCCTCATGGAGGCATTCTTGTCTTTTAAACTGGGAGTTAATCTTACCCTCCTTCAAAACAGCCATTTGTATCTCTATCATGGTGCTACTTCTTGCCTTGAATATTAGTTAATTTTTATACAGCTTCCATGGAAATTAGAAAGTCTTTACAGATAAGGTCCGTGTCTTAGTTTTTCAGTCCCCTGTAGCCAAACTTAGGCTATTGCTAATATACACCAGGATTCAAACTGAATAAATTGATAATCACGTTCTTGGTGCCTCTCAGTATATTCTTAATCCAGTTTTACAAACCGTCGTGGAACATGCTCCTCACTGGCAGGTATTTAATGAGAATGTGAAGGTTAGGTCCTGTTGCCTTTGGCTATTTAAGGCTTAGTGGTGCATAAAAAATAATAAATGTTGGGGGAGGAACACATGTCTCAATGGAAAGAAAATTAAAGTTTACTTATTAAACTGTAAGCACTCAGTGATAAATAATCACAAGGACATTAGTTGGACTCTTTAGAGAAAGAGAACCAATAAAACGGAAATTTGTGTACAGGGTCTATCCAGGAAGTATCCAGCCATGTACTATGAAAAATAGAGACATTCATTGAAGAAAATGCAAAATACAAGAAACATTGTACATGGGACAATGACACCTCAGTCCCCTTCTAAGTAGGCACTTTGGGACCTCACACAATTCTCCCAGTTGCCATCAGCTGCCCTGTCCTATTTTCCTGAACCTCATTGATGGTCTGAAATCTCTTCCCTTTCAAAGGTGATTTTAGTTTTTGGAAAAGCCAGAAGTCACAGGGTGTCAAATCTGGGTACTGGGGGACTGAGTCACCTGGGTGATTTGATGTTTCACTACAAAATTCTGCATGAGACATGATGCATGAGCGGGTGTGTTGTGATGAAGCTGCCAATCACCAGTTGCCCATAGCTGTAGCCTTCTGAATCATCCACATAGTTTCCAAGCTTAACATGGAGGAATGTTCAAGCTTAACGCAAAATGGATGCAGATTCATTGCTCTTCTCGTCATTGTTCACGCATCGCATTCCAGTCCGCTCTCCTTGTCTGTGAGGTTACATCAATATTGTGCAGACTGTTCTCATTATATTAACAGTGGCTGGACTTTTCCTGGATAGACCTCATATGTATGTTATGCGTGTGTGTGTATGTATGAATGTATGAAGAGATTTGGCTTAAGGTATTGGCTCACATGATTACATGGGAGCCAGCAAGCCCAGAATTTGCAGGGTCAGATGGCAGGCTGGAAACTGGCAGGATTTGATACTATAGCCTTGAGTCTGAAATTCATAGGGTAGGATTTCTGTGTTACAGTCTTGTGGTAGAATTCCTTCTTTGGGAAATACCAGTTTTCGTTAAGGCCTTCAACTAATGGGACGAGGCCCATCCGTATCATTGAGGATAATCTCTTATTGAAAGTCCACTTACTATAGATATTAATATCTACAGAATAATTTCATTGCAGCACCTAAATTAGTGTTTCATTACATAAGTAGGTACTCTGACTCAGGCAAGTTGACACATCATACTAACCAACACAGACTTTTAAGCTAAGCATAAACAGTGGTGCTACCCTTATCCCTATTTCTCTGCAGTATCTAATGAAGTCACACTTTCCAGTTATTTTCTCTGTATTAACTAGTAGGACTTTGAGTTTTGCTTTCTTTAGTGAAAAGCAGTTTGCTAAATCCTTAGCAGCAGAAGCCCCACAACTTGTGTCCTTTCATTTAATTCTCACAAAAACCCCTGAAAGGTCTTGTCCTTGTCAAGATGAGGAATTGACTCTCCTCATCTCTCCTGACTTGAATTAACTCTCCTGTGCCGCAGGGCTCAGAATGACAGGACCATACGTCTGCAGCTTGATTTCTACCTCTATTCACTTCTTCCTGAAATAGGTAAAAAAAAAAAAAAAAAGTCTCTCCAAATCATACTGGCTTATTCATTCAGGATTTTTTTTTTTTTTTAGGTTTTAATACATCTTGTAAATTATATACAGAGAGGAAACAGTTTTCTCAAGTATTTTTAAAGCCTCATATCATCTGTGAATTAAAAAGTTTAGTAAGTGCAATAGAAGCTCTCTTCTCATTCTGTTTTTGTAGGTGGTATAATTTATCCTGAGTCAGCCCCATCTTCAATTTAACCACAAAGCATTGCTCTTTCTTCCTCCTCCTTGGTAAGCAAGAGCCATGGTTACCTGAACTTTGACCTCTGTTGCCTGACATCAGTATTTATGTTATATGAAAGTAAGGAAGAATATATTTTACCACTCTCCTGTTTACTGCATAGAAACTAGACAAGGAGTCATTCCATAATTCATCTATACACAACTTGCGAATGTATTATTATTTGATTACTTTTCTTTCTGCTTTTGGCTTAATGGAAGCCATTCTAACCACATCCTGAATGATTTTCTGCAGTGGGGAATCTGAATTTCAGGGGCAGGCCTGCCTGAGACTTGGAATTTCTGGAGAGTAATTTTCTAAATACAAATGATTAACACTGTTTGTGTGATTAACAGTGAAACTACAGTCAAGATTTTTGAAGTAATTGTTAGACTAAAATTAATGAGTACTGTCATCTTAAGAAAATAATCTCTGTTTTTTAAGTTTATAGTACCCCTCTTTCTCTTTTTCATAGGCAGTTAATTGCTCATTTGCAAGTTTTCTCTAAGTTTTCAAATCCACGGGCCTTGTATCTGGAATCCAAATTATATGAGCTTTATCTTCAGGTAGGTATAAAAAATTCTCGCCTCTGCAATTTTTTGTGAACTACTCTCTACCATTTTCTTTGTCAAAATAACTTTCAGGTTTTCAATAATTGTTGAATAGAGCCCATCTCTGCATTTTAAGTATATATATATATATATTTTAAACTGATGAGCATGTTCTGTATTTGAGAATGTTTTAGGCAGTACTAATTTAGTTGACTCTAAAGGCATTTGGGTGACCAAACATTGATGGGCTGGCTTTATGAATAGTGAGCAGAGCATAATTATATCTAAGGCCATAGCATTTAGAAGGAGGTGGGGGTTGTGCCAAGAGCAGTTGGCTGCTTTTCACTTCCGAGTATGTTAGCCTGATGGAGTGCTAGAATTTCAGGATCTTTTACATTGAGCGGAAGCAGATAATTGGCATGATAGTCCATTACAGTCACAATTATATGACCCAGAATTCTAGAAAAGTTTGAAGAAAAAATTCAATTCCCGAAGCAGAGTAAGAATTGGTTATCATTCTTAGCTAACTGGAGAACAACTTTTGTTTTTTCATTTGGATGCTTTTTTAGATAAAACATTTCACATCAGCAGACTTTATCTATGTCAGCCCATAATTCAGATATAACTTGTTTGTAAAACCAGAGTGCAGAAGTCTCAGTTGTCCATAGGAAGCAAAATCCTGAACTGTCTGATCAAAGAGGCCTCAGAGCCAGGTCTTCCCTAGCATTTCACTGACAGCAGTTACCCTCATGGTAACTTAGAAAGCTTTTGCTCTGCGCGGGGCCAGCTCCTGCGGTGTAAGCCCTGACTATGTAGAGAATTGGCCTTGGCCAAACGACTGATAGACCTGAAGGTCTGCTGTGCAGGATGCAGATGTCAGAGTTTGGGCTTTTTTGTTGTTCTTTGCACACGTTCTCTTTGTCCTTTGAGCCAAGGAAAATGTTAGGCTTTTGTCAGGAATTAGCGTTAAACCATGTCTAAAAATTTAGTTTTAAGAAATCTAATTTTGCAGATTAACACAAAAGAATTACTGTCCTATGGTATGTGCATATGTGACTTCATTGATTTTATTCTCTGAAATCTCATTCTTAGTTGTTGCTACACCAAGATCAAACAGTTCAAAAAATCACCCTGGATTGTATAATGACGTATAAACATCCACATATCCTCCCTTACAGGTATGTTACTTGAAGCTAAAGAAATGATTTTTTTTTTGGTTGATTTTTTATCTTTCTATCTGAGGGATCTCTTCTAAAATAATTTTGTTAAGGCCGGGGATATTTCCCTCTTTTCTAAGGCAATCATAAGGCTATTTTAGGTAAGAAGTGAAAACAGGGAGTGTTATTTGTGAAGAGTGCTTCTCTATAGATAATAAGGTAGGAAAGAGAACATTAATTGAAAAGTATGTGTTGAGAAGATTATATCATTTCTCCTTGCTTACACAGTGTCTTAAAAATATTGGTGACTACTTGGCAAATTATAATAATCACTTTAAGACATGAAGAAAGCTTTTGTATTATGCTGTTTGAAACAGCTGAATTATTGACTAAGTCCAACTCTTTATAATGCCTTTTATCTTTTAAAATTTGAAAACCTGTCACTTTGGAAGGTCTTTTTATGAAGATTTTTCTTTATGGATGTCAACTACTTTATAGACTCTTTAATACCTACTTTAGTTACATATATATTCTACTAACTATAATGCATTTTAAAAAAGTACTGTTGGGCCCTGGCTGGTGTGGCTCAGTGGATTGAGCACTGGCCTGTGAATCGGGGTTGCTGGTTCAGTTCCCGGTCGGGGCATATGCCTCAGTTGCAGGCCAGGTCCTTGGTGGGGGACACACGAGAGGCAACCACACATTGATGTTTCTCTCTTTCTCTCTGCCTTCCCCTCTGTCAAAAAAAATAAATAAAATTTAAAAATATATACTGTTGGTTATTAAGTGATGATTTGTGCTGTATTCCATTTTTAAAGGGAAAACTTGCAAAGATTGCTTGAAGACAGAAGCTTTAAGGAAGAGATAGTTCACTTTAGCATTTCAGAAGATAATGCAGTAGTGAAAACAGCCCACCGAGCAGATCTGTTTCCTATTCTGATGAGGTATTTGTACTGCTTAAATTGTGACTTTTTTAATAGCTAATCACAAAACAGTTTTGAGTATTAGCAGTATTATGATTCTTTCAGTATTGTAATAGAATATTTCATTTTGTATTTTCTTTGTATTGCTTTTTTAATTGGATTTTTTGAGGCGCTCAAACTGCTATAGAGACTTCAGAATATTTTGTTCTGGTGTCTAGAACAGCCACTTTTAAAGTGTGGTCTGCTTCTTCTTGACTTGGACTGGTCCTGAGACACTGTCACAAGGTCCACAAGGTTAAAACCTTCTTCATGATACGAGTAATATGTCAGTATGTCATTATGATTACTCATCTATTTAGGTTTTCTTCTTATGTTGTTTTTGCTTATTTATATGTGTGATTTTTTTTCCCCAGAAAAATTACCCATTTAATTGAAACCTTTCTAGTTTCTTTATTTTACTTACACTTGGATTCTTATTTTATTTCCTTTTAATCTGTATTTACTTATTTGCATTATTTAATTAGACTTACCGTTCACTGGCCTATTTTATTACATTTTTTTTTCCTTTATTATTTCCTCCTTCCTGCTTCCTTATTTTTTGGTCGATGTTGTTTATCTAAATTGCTATGTTAAATATTTAATTTCCGTTTCATTCTTTCTTGTTTTATAGTATATCCATTTAATCTGTTAAGTTGCTTTGCTACCTCTTTCAGGAAAACAAAACAACTAGTATTATGCTTTACGATTAATGTGCAAACAAAATAATTTTTGATTTTTAGGATTTTGTATGGTCGAATGAAGAATAAGACTGGGAGTAAAACTCAGGGCAAATCTGCTTCAGGCACCCGCATGTCCATTGTTCTGAGGTTCCTCGCCGGGACCCAACCTGAGGAGATCCAAATATTCTTAGACCTGCTGTTTGAACCTGTGAAGCACTTCAAAAATGGTAACTCCAACGGCCTGGCCCTCTGAATGTGCACTGTCTGCTGTAGCCTTCTAATGTCCAGGCTGGGTTTCATAGGCTCTTCGGTATCTTTCTAATGGGATTGCTTCTCCCAGGCTTGGGGGTGGTCTTTTTTATTGAAATGCTATTCATTTTAAACTTTGATTGATTGGGTGAAGCTCACAGTTGATCTCAACTGATCAGCATCCATGTGTTAGTAAGCCCCTGATTAGAAAATGTGTATCTTTGTTGTTGTCATTGTGCACTTAGGCCATTTGAGAACTGTACTTATCTATATACAACTAATAAGCTTCTCCTTAGAAACTTAAAGCATGCTACAAAATTAATCTTAATTGTCTTGGTATTATTCATTCACTGAGTCATTCATCTACTGAGTAATGATTTCTTGAATACATCCTGTGATCCAAAACTCTGTTGAAAATAGAAATCTCAGCATTTATAATCTCTGCTCCCTCCCTCACAGTCTAAACAAAGTGAGTGGAAAAGTGTATTCCTTGGGCTGTGATGCTCTGTGGTATGTTCTCTGGCATACCATGCTAGTAATTCATGATCGGCATAATGGCTGGCATCAAATGCTCTTCATGCCAGACGTTATGACAGACCCCTCTGTGGAGAATTCAGTTGAACCTTAAAACAACCACATGAGGTGTCATTACTTTTTTCCCCCATTTTACAAATGCAGAAACTGAGGCTTGGAGAGGTTAAGTATTTTGTGCATGACCACTCAGCTAGAAAATGGTTGGGATTCAGCCCAGATCTTTTTGACTGCAAAACCTCGTATGGATATTTATTTGTAGGGTAATATGTTGCATTTGTTTTCTATTTTTTCTATGGTAATGGATCCAGGCGTTAAAAAGTTTTTCACTCAGTGTAAAATTGCCCTGTGAGGGAAGTTGGCTCTAATGAATACAAGTTTTTGTTCAGTATAATAACCTCAACTGTAAGAGGGTAGCTATAAATAGCACTCTTACTGATGGACCATATAGGACTGTGAGTCAGTGAGCCATGATCTCATACCGTTTGGTTGGAAGTAAAGCTCAATCAATAAGAATTCAGGTCTTTTAAGAAAATTATGAAAGAAGTTTATAAAGAACTATTGTTTTATTTATTTCCCAGGGGCTGTAAGACAAAGCATTTGATTCTTAGCCCTCAGGAAACTTAAAATGTAGCAAAACATTTTCTATAAAACTACCATAGTCCCATAGTCAGCGTCATCTAGGAAAGCTGTGAGTGTGAAAAATGCTTGGAAAGTTTCTAGATGGAATAAAGGACTACAGTAATTCAGATTTTCAGAAATAGTATAAGTAAGATGAGAATTGGGCTTAGAGACTTCTGTCACAAGTTTCTTACTTTTTTTGTATCTCAGTTTCCTCATCTATAAAGTGATAATACAGGGTGAGACAAAAGTAGGTTTACAGTTGTAAGCATGCAAAACACAGAGTTTATTCTGGTATTACTAATTAATCTTTGTATTATTTTCCATGTGAACAACTGTAAACTTACTTTTGCCTCACCCTGTAGTAAAACCTAGCATACCTAGGTCATTGACTATGAGGTAAGAATCAGAAGGAGAAAAATAAATATGGAAAGTATATTATCATCTAGAAATTATTATAACAATAAATACTGTATTGCTGAGGGAAGTTAAAAGGCAGCATAATTATCAATCATAACACAGTACTGTTTCCTCTTACATAATATCTCTGTTCCTCCATTTCCCTAGGAGAATGCCATTCTGCAGTCATTCAGGCAGTAGAAGATTTGGATTTGTCTAAAGTCCTTCCTTTAGGTCGCCAGCATGGTGTCTTAAATAGCCTTGAAATAGTATTGAAGAACATTAGTCATCTGATCAGCGCATACTTACCAAAGATTTTGCAGATACTGCTCTGCATGACAGCAACTGTATCACACATCCTTGATCAGCGAGAAAAGGTAAGAGAAATGCACTGAATGTGTTTTTTGGTGGCTAATACAAGTCTGTGTTTTATTTGGGAAATTGGTTGGGACCTGAATACCTAACATCCTTCCAGGTTAAATCTTCCTTATGCAAAGTGTCTTTAAAACATTTTTCCACATAATGGGGATCTTCATTTTTATAAACAATATGTATAGCCAGAAAATGCAAATTATATCAAGTGTGTATTTTAAAAGGAGGTGAACTAGAGAGAGAGTGAGGTCTACATACATCTCAGAAATCAGAATCAGACGGAGTTGAACTGATGTTTCTTAGGTTTTCATTTCAAGAGCCTAGAGATGTAGGACATCTTCCAGTGCTCATTTATCCAGAACAGTAGGAGAGTGAATAAAATACTGTTAGCATTCGTCTTGTTATTTTGACAGAGTTCCTTGAGCTCTTTTAGAAGTTAATGCTTGACTACTATAAGTGCAGTGTTTTGAATAAAGATAGGAAGCAAGGGCAGATGAGACAAGCCAGCTAGCCAGCTGCCAAGAAAGAGGCTTCACGATACTTACCTGGCAGGGGAGATACCATGATCACGAAGGTGGTTTTCCCAGGGCGAGGTTTATCCATTGCACTCCGGATGTGCTGACCCCTGCGATTTCCCCAAATGTGGGAAACTCGACTGCATAATTTGTGGTAGTGGGGGACTGCGTTCATGCTCTCCCCTGGGCGGGGGGGGCGGGGGAAGAGGCTTCACGAGGTGCTGCTCAGTAAATATTTTCTGAATGGTATTCAAGACAATATAGTCTGTTGAAATAGCCATGTGGCCATAAGTATACTATTTGGAGTTTAGGAAAACTTAATGTCTTTATGGGCTAAAGGCTTCTTGGAGAAAATGGGACTTGAAGTGAAGGTCCAGACTCAGGTGTCTGATGTTGATTCTCAGTTCAGGATAAATCAGCACAGCTTTAATTTGGCTAAAATGTATGTCATTTGTTTTATGGCTATGCCTGGTGAACGGCCTCTCAAATATGGTCATGATAACCAAAAATTGACAGACAAAATTTTGTACTGCCTCTTGGGGCTATACATAGATATAAATCTGCTTTTGTAATGAAACAACATTCTGCGATTACCAAGATCCAGAGATTTGGAACACACCTTCCATTTTGGTAGGCACCATTTAGTTTTCCTTGTCCTTTCATTCATTCCTTCAACAAATATTAATTGAGCCCCTACTATGTGTGAGACACTGTTCTAAGCACTGGGGATGGAGCAGTGAGCACAACATTTGTCCGCTTCCTTATTTAGTAAACACTTATTTCACACGTGTACAGACATTGTTCTGGGTTGGGGATTGAGAAAGTGAAGGACTCAATATCATGGGGAGAAAAGTTGCAAATAAATAATTAGAATAATGTCAGTTGGTGGTAAATTCTGAGAGGAAAATAAAATGAGACCCATCTACAGATCACTAAAGTCATTCTTTGCGTAGCTTTCTCCTTTCCGGTACACTTTTCCTTGTGAATTCTAGCTGCCTCGGCCCGCCCCTCAAGCCCCGTGGCTCTGTCTTCCATTTTAGAAAGATAGCTGGACTCTGCCTGGGTCCTCTCTCCTCACACTGATACTTGAAACTGGCCACGGAAGGATGACGGGGACCGTGTGGAGCTCACCTCATCTGTTCTTCTCTGTCAGGGCTTACTGTCATCTGCTGCCTGCTGTCCAGTGTCTGATAATTACTGTTTCATATACTCGGTTCAGTTGTTTAGTGTCTGAGAGGGGAGGCTAAACCTGGTCCCTGGCTCCACTTAACTGGAAGGGGAAAAACCACCAGGAAAGAGCAGGCATACATTATGTGAGAATTTTCTTTTATGCCTTAAAGCGAGTGACAGTGACTTTATCTCTATGTTGATATACCAAATCCTGAATGATTAAAGATTTTATAAATCCTCTGTAAGTCCTCCAGATCTATGGTTAACTTGGGAGTTAATCAGTAATACAGCCTCACTCCTTTGTTGACAGTCAGTAACTCAAAGGATCATTTGTGCAATTTCACAGTTCATTAGGTAGTTAGGTGGTAAGCTTTTTGACTGGTAGGCATTTCTCCTCTTTTCTTTTTAAATTTTTGGACAAATCTAAAGACTTCTCTGAGGTGCTATAGTGAATTATTGCACAGTAATATTGCAACATTTGTATGTTTGAGCGAAGTTACACATTTATTTTTTTTGTATTTTTCAGATCCTCCAAGGATCAAATGTGTATTGTGATTGTTGCTTTGGTTTGCTATTATTTTTTCTGTACATTTAAACAAAGGAGTAACCTGGAAATGTACATCAGCTCAGTCATATTGGCTATTCCTCTAGGAACTAAAGTTTACAATTGCTCACTTGCAGGGTTTTCCTCCAGTTTATTCAACAGGTATTGAGTAGACCGGGCAGGTGGTGCTATAACTGCAGAAGTGAACAGAACTCTCAGATCCTGCCCCACCAAGAGAGGGCCTGTGGGGGTGGGATTGGGGAAAGGTAGATGGGCCAGGGGGCAGCGACCGCTTTGATGCCGTGGTGCTAAGATTAGTTTCTCACTTGTTCCAGGAGCTCGTGATACCAGGTTATTTTCAAATATCAGTAAGTTTTTATCTTTACCAAACGTGATACAGCTGATAATGAAAATATTGCCAGGGGAACTGAAGCAGAAACAACTTGTAAATGTGTCAACTTCTTATCTTTGCCTGTCATTTCCTCTGTCTTTGTAACTTAATATAATGAGATAATCACAAGTACAGGGTAGAAACTTGATGAATATGTGAAATACGATTCTTCAGACTGGCACAGCAAATTAAAGGCATCCTTATTCCTATTCACTTGAATTTAAAATGTGTTTTCGCAACCCTCATGGGTGTTCAGTGGATTTAGCGCCAGCGTGCGAACTAAAAAGTTGCTGGTTCGATCCCCAGTCAGGGCACATGCCTGGGTTGAGGGCCTGTTCCCCAGCTGGGGGCATGTGAGAGGCAACCAGTTAATGTATTATCTCTCACACATTGATGTTTTTCTCCCTCTCTTTTTCCCTTGCTTCCCATCTCTCTAAAAAATCAATAAATAAAATCTTTAAAAAATAAAAATAATAAAATATGCCCTTTCAGATTCAAACACTTCTGTTGTTCAGAATATCATGTTTTCATGACAAATAACTTCCCCATTAGTTTTTTCATAATATCATGGCCATAAGACTTGGTACTCATTTATTAGAGCATCGATGTTGTCTTTCTCATACGCAGGGTGGTTTTTAGATTTTTGAAGTAGGTGATTAAAGTCATATGTAAAAGTAATTTGCCACTTATAAATCCAGAGTCCACAGTATATTCATCAAGTGGAAAAACATTTAGGGGTTGACTCTTGCCCCATGTGTTTGGTTTTTACAACATTCCCTGCTCGGGAGACCCTTCTAAGGCCTTTTTCTTTGTCTCCCTGGCCTAAACCTCTTTATCCTTTAACATCCAGTGCAGCCCTGGTTGGTGTGGCTCAGTGGATTGGGTGCTGGCCTGCAAATCACAGGGTTGCTGGTTCAAATCCCAGTCTAGGGCACATGCCTGGGTTGCAAGCCAGGTCCCCATTGGGGATGCATGAGAGCAACCACACATCAATGTTTCTCCCCCTCTCTTTCTCCCTCCCTTCCCCTCTCTGAAAATAAATAAATAAATAAATGATTTTTATTTTTATTTTTTTTTATTTATTTATTTTTTAAATCCAGTGGAAATTCTGCCTTGTCCATGAAGCTTCATCCTCCTCCCTGGGATGTCTGTGGCATTTTCTGTCACTCACATAATTTAACAAAATTTTCCTTCAAAAGATTTTAAGCTGAGGTCAGGACAGTGGCTGCCATGCCATTGGACCCATTGATGGGGGCTCAGTAAATTGTTCTACTCTCAGCCTGAGCAGGTGCCTCCATATTTATGATTTCTGTGACTCCTCAGAGACAGAGGTGCCAGTAGAAAGAGAAGCGTCTGTTACAGGAGAAGTGTGCTGTTAATTCAGACATCCACCCACTCCGGCTTCAGTGCCTCTACAGAGACACATTTTCTTCCAAATTGTATTTTTCTTGAATTACATATTTTGAGATCTTCCCATGTCTTAATTTATTTGCCTCATTTTCTTTTACTGCACAAAGTATCCCACTGTATGGAGAGAGCATGAAAACTTTATCTAGTTTTCTAGACTAATTTTAACAAGAGTAATAAAAAATTCCTAGTTTTAATAAAAGTAATAATAATAATAATAATACGAACGTGAAAACAAAAAGGGCTCTGACCGGTGTGGCTCAGTTGGTTGGGCATAGTCCCGTGAAGCAGAAAGATACCGGTTCAATTCCTGGTCAGGGCACATGCCTGGGTTGCAGGTTTGGTTCCTGGTTGGGATGCAATAGAGAGGCAACCAATCAATGCTTCCTGCATCAATGTTTCTCTCCCCCTCTCCCTCCCTCGCCCTCTCTCTAAAATTAAATAAAATCTTTTTTAAGAAAAAGAATGTCACTTTTATTTGAAGTGAAGATCTATGATGGCAAAAAAAATTTTTTTTGATTGAATGTGTTCATAGGAAGAAATCAGGATTTTATTTGTTATTTTTAGAGAGAGGAGAAGGGGGAGAGAGAGAGAGAGAAACATCGATCAGTTGCCTCTCACATGCCCCCAACTGGGAACCTGGCCCACAACACAGGCATGTACCCTGACAGGGAATTGAACTGGCAGCCTTTCAGTTTGGAGGCCAGCACTCAGTTCACTGAGCCACACTAGCCAGGGCAGAAATCAGGATTTTATTTGAGACAATTACTTGAATAGAAAAGTAAAACAATGTGGCAACAAAACTTGTTCCAGTTGTGATTTTTTTTTCCTCTAAGGATACTCTAGTATGATTTTCCTGGGCAGTGATAATGAAACACATCTCACCATTGGATTTTTTAGGTCTCTGCTTCCCCATCTTGCTTAACGAGAAAACCAGTATGACTTGCTTAGTTGACATTTCCATGTGAATCAGAACCAAAGTCAACAGACTTAATAGCAAGATTTTCAGTTGGATTCTTAGCTGTCTGAGCAAGAGTGCCTCCCTGAAAAGTTAAGGATTAAAATGATGTCTATCACATTTTTTTTTTAAACAGAAGATCTTTGTTTTACAGATACAGCTGAGGTTTATCAACCCACTGAAAAATTTAAGACGTCTTGGAATCAAAATGGTAACTGCTATCTTTTTGGACTGGGAGTCCTATCAGTTCAGGACAGAAGAAATTGATGCAGTATTTCATGGTGCAGTTTGGCCCCAGGTAAACCTTGATTTCTACATTCTGCATGAATACCTTTGCTTCTTCCTTTGTTATTACTGTGCCAGCATGGTCCATACCCAGACACGAATCGCTGCCCTGGTCTTTTCTTTTACATCAAGCCTTTGGTTATTTCCAGAAGTTTGAGAACACTTTCTTTGCTTTGACGACCACCTAAAGCTCAAGAGCTAGTTTCTGCAATACCATGGCATTTATTTATAAGGCTAATTTGAATATGATTGTGTCTCTTAAGCAAATGTAAAATAACTTTTGTAGCACCTCACATGATGTGTCTCTGGATTTTGACAAGCATGAGGGAAAATACACAGCTATTTTTGTTACATGTCCCCTTGTTTGACTTCTCTGGTTGTAACTACTTGGTCATAGCTAAGGATAGTTATAGAGAAGCAGACTGAAGCAGAGCCTTGATTTCAGGAAAGAGTTCCAGCTGCCTGAGTCTGTCACCTCTGACCAGTTGGTACCTAAACTGCCTGTTTCCTTTCAGGGGTCTAGCATCTCCATGCGCATATTTGCATTTCTTTTGTGCGGGTATTCTGTTGGACTACCTACGTTTTCCTCAGCCTGTAACTGTTAATCTCTGTGGCTTGGCTCTTTTATCTTCTGGTGCAGTTTCTGTGCTTGTTCAAGTTTTTTCAGTTGTTTTTTCCCTACAATTCTGTATATATTTATGTTGTATTCTGTTTCTATTTTGTGTCCTAGATCAGCAGGCTCGGATCTGAGAGTCAGTATTCTCCTACTCCTCTGCTGCAACTAATAAGTGTCTGGAGCAGAAATGCAAGGTATGGCCTTTTTCTCCCCTTTTAAAAAGGGCAGATACACTAGTCAGGGGCACTAATAATGTAACTTCCAGTCTTTCCATGCAGTGAACTCCTTATAGAGAGCAGCTAAAGAGAGTAAGGCAACTGAATCTCAGAATACACGGTTTAAAGAAAAGCACAACTGCTGAACAATATGTATGGTGTAGTTCCTGAAAATGCTTGTACATGTATGCCAATATAGAAGGAAACAGAAAATGTCCAGAAGGATGCACGGGAAGCTGTCAGTGTTACGGCGGCCTGTGCAGGGGTGGGTGGACCGGAGGGGGCTGGGGGACTTTCCATGCTATATCTTTGAGTGTTTGCATTATTTATAATTTTAAAAAGGAAAAATATAGGTAAAATAACATGTAATTTAATGTAAAATTATAAAGCATTATATCAAAACTTATGCGTGTTAGCTATTTTTACAGTTTCATTAAAACTTGAAAATTAGAAGGACTGGATTAGATGAGGAATGTACATAAAGCGCCTAAGTAATATGTGTGTGTAACGTGCCTAAAATTATTATCCATCAGATTTTAGATTTTAAAGTAATTTCCCTTTTGAGTATCTTATTGTTCATAAACACATATATTTGAAACTCGGTATGAAAATTCATATCAAAGATGTTTTTAGAAATATTGAGAAATAAGATGATGATTTCAATGTTTTTTCTTGCAGATACTTCCCTTTGCTGGCTAAACAGCGACCTGGGCACCCAGAATGTGACATCCTCATCAATGTTTTTGCGACTCTCTCAGCAAAGAATCTCTCTGAAGCCACAGCCAGTATCGTGATGGAGATAGTCGATGACCTTCTTTCCCTTCCAGACTTTGAGCCCACAGAATCACTTTCGAGCTTGCCCGTGACTGGATGTGTGTACCCCGAAAGTGCAGATGGTATGTGTGGGCACAAAGCAGATGATTCCTAGACTTTCAAGGTAGCATTTGTTCCCTCAGGAAGGAAAAAGTCAGTAGAATTTGACTCTTAATAACTGATGCTACTAAAAGTTTCCTTTCTCTAACAATTAATACCAATTCATATAAACTGAGTTTTCTTGGCAGTGGTAGAAATTCAGGTTATTTAGGCTCCAAAAAGCTCAACTACCCTCCAGGCAGTTATCAGATGATTTCCACTGCCATGTCTGAATTCTTCCTGCCATATCCCACCAGTTCTTTTACCACTACCAAAAATGGTTTAAATAAAGCCTCAGGGGTCTCTTATATAAATTGGTCATTTAGCTGGCGATACAACTACTTTGTCTAAGAGGAAAGTTATTTAATCTTTAGAGTTGAATTTTACTAAATTTTCATGGTAATTGAATGTTTTCCTTGTCTGTCATTATGAAGATATTGTACAATTATCCTTTAAGAGAATAGTTAATTGAAACCAAATTTCAATTTAAATAAACCAAAACTGTTTATTTTAGAGTCTATTACAGTAGGAGGACGATTAATTCTACCTCATGTGCCCGCAATTCTCCAATATCTCAGCAAAACCACAATAAGTGCAGAAAAGGTGAAAAAGAAAAAGAACAGGACACAAGTCAGTAAGGAACTTGGCATTCTTTCAAAGTAAGTGATACGTATCCTTAAAAGATAACATTACCATCCATGGCTTTATTTTAAATTAATGTAGAATTCTGTTTCTCCACTGCAGTATTAATTAGAAACCTTTTATGGCATCTGCCTTCATTTAACTAAAAAGAAAAGAATAGACTTAAAATTCTAAAGTAGACTAATAGATTTGCTTGATTTGCCTTTACATGTTTTGTTCAGTTAAAATTTTGAGTTCCATGAAAGAACAGTTTGTTTTGTTTGTTTCAAGTAGATCTCACAAGGATTTTTAATGATTCTCTTTGGCAATAGAACTAATAGTATATGCTTATGATTTCTGTAAGTGCAAGTTTAGTACCTAAGTGCAGAAAAATGATTGTATCTTAAGCTTTAATTGTTCTAGGACTTAGCTGTTGAAAGGTTTTTTTTTGTTGTTGTTACTCTCAGCAACAACAAAAGAAATACATTAGAATCTTCCAGAAACTCCTTTTAAATATTTTATTTATACTACCGTATTTCAAAATTACACAGAGTGGGAACCACACTAAATATACTCATTAAGTTTTATCACAGGCTGTGGCAGTGGAAAGATGATGCCAGATTAGGCACCAGCAAGACCAGTGTTTGAAAGACCTGCTCTGCCACTTCCTCACTGGGTGACATCAGCTTCTCTGGGAAAAATGGAGCTAGGAAATCCTTCATTGTAGAGCTGTGGTGGGAATTAAACTGAACTACTTTATATAGTCTTAAACAAATCTTGGCATTTAAAAATGTTATTTCCTTGAAATAAGAAATTACCAATTGCCAGATTATAGCATTGGCATGTACCCTAACCCACCTACACAATCAGATGTTACAAAAGAAATAGAAGAGTAGCCTGAGCCCAAAGCTGGAGAGGAGGAGTGGGCCCTGCCAAGTAACTGAGTGAAACTTTTTATACGGGCACACACACTTAAAAGTCACCTGTGCATTTCGTCCCCGATGCTTTCCTGCAAAAGTAACTCCTTAAAGAAATACTCTTAATTTGTGCATTTTTCTTACCTACCAGTTTTTTCCTTCTCCAGGATCAGCAAATTTATGAAAGACAAAGAACAGAGTTCTCTGCTCATTACACTGCTGCTTCCTTTCCTCCAGCGCGGCAACATTCCTCAGGTATAAATGCATAGGACATTGGCTTTGTCTTTGAAGTGGCACTTGATTAAGTTTATTTGTGAACAATAATTTTATTGGTTAGGTTCTATGATGTAGTTGTCTTAAAGTATTTGTGAGAAGACTTTAAACAGAAATATAACACTGAAAACAGAAGAGAAAAACGTGGGACGGAGTCGGGAATGCGGGCAGGGAAGAATGTGGAGAAGGCGTCGTCTGCCGTAACAGTCAAAGTGTTAGCCCCACGGTCTTCCTCTGTCGGGCTTCTCGTCCCTGTCAGGACTTTTTTCCCTCTCTGACTTTGAAGAATAACAAATCTGGAACCCAAGAAGTGCATTGTATAATCTTAAATATGTATCACAGGGGATGAAAAGTCAGACTATTTTAATATTCAGATAGAGCTAAGAGTATCTAATATGATTTTCAAAGCCTAGTTCAGACTTGATTAAAAGGGTCTTCCTGTGGCCCAAACTTAGTCGTCACACTGAACAGCTGTTATGACATAGTAATGGTGGTCTTCAGTTTAGAAGACCACAGATCTGTAGGCAACCAGAGGAATTTATTTTTCTTCAGCAAACTCAATTTTCTTGCCTATTTTTTAGCTTTACAGTAGAAAAAAGTTTGTTTCAAAACCATGCATATTTTCTGTTAGAATGAAAGGTAGAAATTGTTAATGGATATTATTGTGGGTTTTATGTTAAAATGCTAAGAACTCTTAAAGGCTGTGGGGTAACTTTTCCAATAACTAGTTTTACTTCTTATTCATAATTTTTTAAATTTAATTTTTATTGTATTTTTTCCCCAATATCATTTAGTCCCCTTATACACGGCCCCCCCCTCAAGCAGTCACCACACTGTTGTCCTTGTCCTTTTTCCTTTTTGCTCAATCCCTCCGCCCCCCAACCACCATCCCCCACTAGCTGTCATCTGCTCTCCATCTATGAGTCTGTCTCTGTTTTGCTTGCTAGTTCAGTTTGTTCATTAGATTCCACAGATGAGTGAGATCATATGGTATTTGTCTTTCTCTGACTGGCTTCTTTCACTTAGCATAATGTTCTCCAGGTCCATCCATACTGTTGCAAAGGATAAAATTTTATTGTTTTTTATGATCAAATAGTATTCTATTGTGTAAATGTCCTATCTGTCGTTGTTTTATCTACTCGTCTATTGATGGACACTTGGGCTGCTTCCATATCTTGGCGATTGTAAATAATGCTACAGTGAACATAGGGGTGCTTATGTTCTTTCAAATTAGTGTTTTGGGTTCCTTCACTTATATTCCCAAAAGTGGGGTCACTGGATCAAAAGGCAGATCCATTTTTAATTTTTTGAGGCATCTCCATACTGCTTTCCACAGTGGCTGCACGAGTCTGCTCTCCCAGCAGCAGTGCAAAAGAGCTCCCCTTTCTCCACATCCTCACCAGTAGTTGTTGTTTGTTGATTTATTGATGATGGCCATTCTGACAGGTGTAAGATAGTATCCCACTGTGGTTTTAATTTGCATTGCTCTGATGATTAGTGACGTTGAGCATCTTCTCATATATCTGTTGGCCATCTGTATGTCCTTTTTGGAAAAGGGTCTATTCAGGTCCTTTGCACATTTTTTAACGAGGTTGTTTGTTTTTTTGATGTTGAGTTTTGTAAGTACATTATAAATTTTGGGTATTAACCCCTTATCAAATGTATAAGCAAGTATGTTCTCCATTTCTGTGGGCTGTCTTTTTATTTTCTTGACTATTTCCTTTGCTGTGCCCATAGTTACTTGTTCTCTGTGCTGTAATACACTAAAGCCAAGTTGACCGGTTTTATAAATTACTGAAATATAATTTCTCATAATATTTCTTCTTAAGGATACAGAGGTTGATATCCTGGTGACAATACAAAACCTGTTAAAGCATTGCCTGGAGCCTGCAAGCTTCCTCAAGCCTCTAGCAAAACTCTTCTCAGTTATTAAAAACAAGCTGTCAAGACAATTGCTTTGTACAATTTTCCAGGTCTGTAATACTCATTTTTACCCTTAATCACCTCTATGAGTGGGAGCAGAGAATTGACAAGAGGTGGACAGAAAAGTTAGGGTTTTATTCACTAATGTACTGTTTTCATTCCTTTTAGACTCTTTCTGATTTTGAGAGTGGGTTAAAATATATTACTGACATTGTCAAGGTAAGAAAGAAAATCTTATTTCACTTCTGTTTCAAAAATACTATCAATTTTGTTTATTTAAGGTTTATATACCTTCACTTATATGGTTTCAATATCATTTCTCATAGCTCAATGCCTTTGATCAAAGACATCTTGATGACATCAACTTTGATGTTCGCTTCTCAGCGTTCCAGACCATCACCTCTTATATTAAAGAGATGCAGACTGTGGATGTTAACTACCTCATTCCAGTGATGCATAATTGTTTCTATAATCTGGAGGTAGGTTTTTATAGCTAAGCTTTGTGAAATTTTTTTATTGTTTTGATAATACAACTACATGATCTCATTTCTTAATTTGTGTTTTGAGGAGGATAAGGGTTTTTTAATATAAAATTTATTTTAGTTGCATAATATTCCTGATTGTTTTTCTTATGATTTGAAAGACTATGATTTTGAATAAATATGTGGAAGACAAAAAGCTGTGTATTAGAATAGAGGAATCGATAGAGGCAGAAATTAGGGATTACCAGTGGCTCCAGGGGGAGGGAGGAATGGGGAGTGACTGCTTATTGGTACAGAGTTTCTCTTGGGGATGATGGAAGTGTTCTGAAGTTATCCCTGCTGGTATAGCTCAGTTGGTTGGAGCATCATCCAGTAACAGAAAGGTTGCAGGTTCAATTCCTTATCAGAATATATGTCTAGGTTGCGGGTTCAGTCCCCGATCCAGGTGCGTATGGAAGGCAACCAGTTCATGCTTCTCTCTCACATTAATGTTTCTCTCTCTCTTCCTCTCTTTCTAAAAAGCAGTGACCTAAAAACAAACAAAAAAAATGTCCTTAGGTGAGGATTAAAAAAGATGTTCTGAATTTAGTGGTGATGGTTGCATCACCTTGTGAATATACTAAAAATCACTAAATTGTACACTAGGGTAAATTTTATGGTATGTCAGTTATATCTCAGTTTTTCAAAGTTATGTAGCTAAGTATTTGACAGTTTGGTCTCTTATATTGATATTGTAGAAATAAAAGGAGTTGGGACTATATTAAGTACATTGTTGCTGAACTGATTTGAGATCCCAAAATGGGGGAAGTGAAGTCCTTAATTAATAGTTAATCATGTAATGACATCAATAATGTTTTGTGGCATTTTATAGTTATTCATCTGATATTACGGATTGTGTAATATATGAAAAAGTAATCTCCCCATTTGGGGCTTATTCTCTGTATATATCATGTCAAATTTAACACAGGGAATTCTTTGTGTGTTTTCTTTTTTTTGGGGGGGGGTGAGGTTCTTTTTTTGTTTTCTTCAACACAAGGAATTCTAAATTGCTGCCTCATTGGCTGAATTGGGAATGCTTTCTTTATACTCACTGCTTGTATTCTCAAACCAGGAACTCGACTGCAGCTAACCAGAATTATAACCAGCCAACTCTGTCATTTTCAGTGATCACCTAATACTGAGTATTGAAAATGGCTTTATCAAACCTTCTATTGTTTGCTTTGAGAAGTAAAATTAATTAGAAGTCTGTGTCATAATATTTCCTGAAACTGAATGACACTTCTTAGTAAGCATGATATTTCAAAGTCATTTACTGTATTCCTCACAGCCCTACGTTTGGGTCATCCTTAGGCATGAAGTACTGGTGGGACATTTCTTAGTAGGAATTTTTATACAGAGCAGTAGCAAAATTTTGTAAACTTTTTCATTATAAAAATGTTCCTTATTATAATTATTACACAGAATAATTTGTGTGTTTTTCTTACTTCCAGTTAGGAGACATGTCTTTAAGTGATAATGCCAGCATGTGCTTGATGACTATCATCAAAAAGCTAGCCGCCTTGAATGTCACAGAGAAAGATTATAGGGAAATCATTCGTTTGCTCCTTGAGAAACTGAGGAAAGGATTGAAGAGCCCTATAGAGGTATTGGGGTTTGTGATTGTTACTTTATTTTTACATACTGTTTACGATATGTGGCTTTTTGTTATGTTTTGTTTTTCCCTACTTTTTCTCCTGAGAAAAGCAGTGAGCCTTAGCACACTTAATTAAAATTCTTGGTTGTATAAAAATATTTACCAAATATTTGGGAGTGGGAATTGAAAAGAACAATCACTTTATGATTTTATGTAGTTTAACTAGTATTTACAGTGGGAATGTTTTACTTTTTTAAAAATTTAATGTCTGTGTCTCTGTGTATTATCTAGGAAGCAAATGCTTTTTAAAATAAAATTTTTTTTCTCACTTTGGTATTTGCAGAGTATTCAACAGGATTATACCACACTGCTTTCCTGTTTAATTCAAACCTTTCCAAATCAACCAGAATTTGAAGACTTGGTACAGCTTACTGACTGCCATGATATGGAAATGGACTTCTTTGAGAATATGAAGCACATTCAGGTAGGAGAAATTTCTGTACTTTTCCCCCTGCCTATAAAATAAGCATTGCAAACAGTTCTGTCTCATTTAAAAAGATTTATTTTAATTTTCCAAAAAGTTGTGAGCGTCTCATTCCTTGGTCTTCGTGATACCAGCCAAATTTGCTTAGGAGATGATCATTTCCTAGAGTCCGATTTCCTTGGTGGTATCACAAACCACAATAATAGTGTTACCTTTCTCTGCCATTTTTAAAGAAGTTTAAATGTATTTGGATCCATTGGTAAACCAGTGCTGTGGGTTATCTCTGGAAACAAGTCAAGGCACAGGTGTTTGCTCATGTAACACATAAACTGTATTTCACTCCTTAATCTTTTCATGCAAACAGAACGTGATACTGACATGGAGCTGGCTGTAGGGGAGATTTTCAGTAACTGATTCATATTTTATCTAACTTGTAGATCCACAGAAGAGCAAGAGCCCTGAAGAAATTGGCAAAACAACTAATGGAAGGCAAAATCATGCTGTCTTCTAAATCGCTTCAGAATTACATCATGCCTTATGCCATGACTCCAATTTTTAATGAGAAAATGCTCAAGGTAGGGCATTAGATCTAAAAACTGGTATACCTCTTCTCATACTATGACACACTTTCCAAAATGTAGATGGCGGAATAGAATCTGAATTTCGTGACGTCCAGATCAATGATGTCAGCATAATTAGAGGCTTGGAACAGTTCTAAAGCCCTTAGAATTGTGCGTGGCACATAGTAAATGCTCTATAAATGGTAGTTGCATTTTTATTTTTGCTATTATTAGCTCACAGAAGGCCAACCAGAAAATATTTCCTGTTAGAAATGATCACATTACTAAGGCAGCATACTCTTTTAATTTAGTATCATAGGGCTTAAACTACACTGATCAGCAGAGTAGTTGTCTTCCCAAATGGCTCATAAGAAATGAAATAATACGATGGCTACCTTTTCTGTAGCACCACACCAGTTACAGGCACTGTTTTAAGTGCTTGAATACATAATACTACTTCTTCCTCACCACAACTCAAGCCCATTTGGTAGAGACTGTTATCACTGTTTTATAGGAGAGTAAAATGAGAATGAGGTTATGTAACTTTCTCTGAGACATATAGTCTCAGACCCAGTATTTGAACTTAGGACTGTCCCCATCATTATGCTGCATAGTGCCTAGAATAGTGCTTGGCACATGGTAAGGACTTGATAAATATTTATTAATTAAATAGATTAAGGAAAGACAGTACCCAGGAATTAAAATCTAATTGAGGTAATATCTGGACTTGTGACTTAAATTTATACTTTATAAATTACATGGTCTTGTACAGGATAAATTTCCTCTGTTGGTTCAGGGTATTAAAAAAAACTTCTTTAACGCCCTGTTGGGTGTTAGTCTGATGAGGAGGTTTAGAGATGCCCAGTTTTTCCTCTCTTCTTTCTCGACCATCCATTCTATGGGCTTCAGGACCCAGTCAGGTATGGATGCTACAGCCAGCTTCTTTGTAACTCAGGAAGGTACAGGGCCAGCTGGATGCCAATGGGAAAATTTTAGAACTTCTACTGATACGAATTTTATCTAAAATATGGAAGATAATAAGACTTACTAATTTTAATATATGGATTGGCACTCCCGAAACAAGAATAGGAGTTCCATAATTCATTTGTTTGATTATCTTGTGATGAATAGCAGTTTATATCATCGTGGTTAAGGAGATGTATGGATAATATATTCCATTAAAAAAACTAATCCTTGAAAATGGTTAAGTGATTAGAATTCTGGCATAGAAAATGCGAATCAAAGATAATTCAAAAATGCCAACACTAGCAAACAACTGGGGAATAGCAAAGTTGAAATTTCTAACTTTCTTTCACTACATTATAGGATGAAAATAATGATTTCATGAGTTATGATGAGAATTTGGCCTCTAAAGTTCAATATTGTCTTGACAGCTATTGGGAAGATGAAGTCTCACTCGTGATCATTAGTGCTTAATCTCACCTAAATATAAATTGTGTTGAGATATTTGCTAATGACCATAGTATATGTGTATAATTTACAGAAAAATAAATTTACGTAAATTGTGAAAAAAAAATTTTTTTTAATTACCTAAGTAAATAAAAGAATACTCCCTTAAATTCCAGTTTAAAGAATCAGTAAGCACAACCAGCTCAGAGCATGATGGCAATAAAGGAGGAAAGAGGGGTAGATGGACAAATAAATTATATTTGAGTTGGGTCAGCTTTAGTATAGTATATCTTTTTATAGTCTTTTATTTTTAATCTGTTCGTGACTTTACATTTAGGGTTGTTTTCTAGTAGGGTAGCTTTTTTATCCAATCTGGCAATCTCTGCCTTTTAACTGGTTTTAAACCATCTACATTCAATATGAATATTAATGTGATTGGGTTTAAATCAGTGGTCTTGTTATTTAGTTTTCCCTTGTCCCAATTTGTTCTCCTTTTTTACTACCTTGTATTGGATCAATTGGCTGTTCTTTAAAGAGTTGGTTTTCTCTCTGTCGGTTTATTAATTATCATTGTATAGGGTTTTACCCGTACATTAGATTTAAACCACTCACACAATACAGACATTGTTATTTTTGCTTTAAACAATTATCATTCAAAGAGATCTTTTAAAATAAGGAAAAGATCTGTATTATTTGCTTACATATTTAGAACCAGATATTCATCCTGTATCATTTTACTTCTGAAAGGAAGACTTCCTTTAATTTTTTTTATGGTACAATTCTACTAGCGATGAATTCTTTCAGCTTCTGTCTTTTCTTATCTTTGCTTTGAGAAGATAATGTTTCAGGGTTTTTCCTCTTAGTACTTTGAAGATAATGCTCTACTGTCTTCTGGTTTATATAACTTCCCATGAGAAGTCATTCTTATCTTTGTTTTTCTGACTATAATGTATTTTTTTTGTTTTCCCTGGCTGCTTTTAAATTTTTATCACTCATTGGTTTTAAGCCATTTGATTATGATGTATCTTACTGTAATTTCCTTCATGTTTCTTGTGCTTGAAAGTAATTGAGCTTCCTGGATCTATGGATTTGTAGTGTTCAATAAACTTTGAAATTTTGGGTCACCATTTTTTCCAAGGTATTTTTGGGTTCCCTTCTTGCCTTAGGAGACCCTATGTATGTTAGGGTGCTCTCTGAATTGTCCCATAACTCATTTAAGCTCTTTTCTTAAACATTTTTTTAAAGTTTTCATTTTGTTTTATTTTCCTACTGCTGTGTCTTCAAGTACACTCATCTTTTCTTCCACACTCTCTCATCTACTTTTACTTCTGTCTGGCATATTATCTCTCACAGAGTTGTCTTTTCCATTTCTAGAAGTTCAGTTTGGTCCTTTTTTATACCTTACTTGTCTTTCCTCAATATGCTCATGTTTTTCTCTCCATTCTTGATCATATGGAATAAAATTATATCAACTGTTTTACTGTCTTCACCCACTAAGTCTATCACCCATGTAATTCCTAGGTCTGTTTCTGTTGGTTGTTTTTTTTTTTCTTCTCATTAGAGGTTATTTTCCTGCTACTTTCTCCACCTGTGCAGCTTTCCTCTCTGAGTAGCTCTCTCCTCTCTGGTACTCAGGCCTGTGGACTCTGACAGCTATAACCGCAGCTCTGTCTCCTTACCTCAGGCTGGCTCCTTTCTGGCTTTCCCTTCCTGGTTATGACCTGACCGTTCTCGCCACACAGTGACTGGGGTAATTGCAAGGTGCTCTCCATTTGTTAACCTTCCCGTCTGGGAGCGCTGTCCTGCACTATTTGTCTGAAAACAGTTGTTTTATATGTTTTTGTCTACTTCTCCGGTTTAAGGTATGAGGGCAAATCTAGTTACTATTCTCCATCAGAGTATGAAAGAGAGGTAGGTCTTCAAGGGGTGTACTTTTGAATGTTGAACAGTGCAGAATATAGTTAACTTTGGCATTTGTCAAGTTTTACAGGTTGAATTTACTTCATTCACAGTCTGTGGGCTTGCACCTATCAGGGAGGCCTGAGTGAGTTCAAAATGTGTTAATATCTTTTAATTAAAGGACTATGGCATTTCTTTAATTGACAGCATCTTTTCTTAGGGGTGGAAATGGAGTATAGTTTGAGCATTTGTTTCTATAATTGCAAATCACCTTTTGTCTAAGCTTTTTAATGTACAGTGTTAGCTCTGTATTTTATTTGCAAATGCTTTCTTTTTGTTGATGCTCTTGATTTGTTTTACAGCATGAAAATATAACCATTGCTGCCACAGAGATTATTGGAGCCATTTGCAGACTTCTCCCTTGGTCAGCATATTTATATTACTTGAAACATTTCATCCACGTCTTACAGGCAGGACAGATCAGTCAAAAGTTGGGTGTCAGGTATAGTCAAATTTCTTATTTATATTATATTTTTTAAATGTAAATTTTTGATTATTTTCTGAAATAGTCTTTCTGAAATCTAATTTACTTTCACATTTTATTTTTGAGGTTATACTAATGTTTGTTAAAGTCAAAAATACCATAAACTGGTAAAAATAATTTTGATGTTTATATGTCTTTAAATTGCCTCTCCTTTTAATCCTCAAATGATATTATTAAACAACTAAATATTTCTGTGTACCTTCTCTTAACAGCTTGCTAGTAATTGTGTTAGAAGCATTCCACTTTGACCACAGAACTCTTGAAGGACAAATGAGAAGAATTCAGAATGAAGAAAGTAAGTTTTTAAAACTTTCTTAAACTAGATTTTCATTCTGTTTTCTGGATAATTTATGATAATGAAGTAAATATGGTAAAATTCAACTTATTCCTCTTTCTTTGCTCTTGTAGCAATGACCAGTGAATGAGTCAGGTGGAAGTTAAAATGAATATTTTGAGTATACTGGTAAAAACTTATTTAACAGTAGAGAAGGCCAGTCTGAATTATGTAGGTGAAAAAAATCTGAGCTATAGATTATTTACATAGAAATCCAATAGTATTGCCTTCACATTTAAAGATACTATTTAGCAGTGAATGCAAAGAAAGTATAAGAAGAGAATTAAAAGTTACAGCAAGAATTAATGAACTATGACAATAAGAAAGGATCCTCAAACTAGAAATAGGTATTTGACAAGATTATAAATGGGCAAATCTCTGACAAGATTGATCACTGAAAATAGAAGGCATGATAATACTGGCAACTTTAAAAGGTCACTATTAAATGAAAAGGTAAAATAATATTATGATCTTTATACTTATAAATTTGAGTACTTGACTGCAATGTACAAAATCTAAGAAAAATATAAAAACTGACCAGAAAACAGAAAATTTGGATGGATCTCTAACCACTAAAGAAATGAAATCTGTTGTTAAAAACCTTCTCTTGGTGAAAATACCAGCCTCAGACTATTTTATGAGCAACTTCTACAAATGCTGAAGAAATGGGTAATTTCAGACTTAACAACAGCTCTTTGAGGTGATTGAAAGAGAGGATACCCCACTAACTTACGGAGTTGGAATAACTGGTTAATGGAACTTAACATATTAGCATACAAAAATATTGATCATCTAAATAGACACAAGGGAAACTTTTGATTAAATTGAATATCTGTGCATGATAAAAGCACATATCAAGCAAGGAATAAATAAAATTTCTTTAACCTATTAAAAGAGGCCTTTTAAAAACCTAATGCAATATCAATTAGTAGTAAAGGTTTAAAAGTCTGCTTTAAAACCAGAATGAGGCAAGGATACCTGCCACTACTGCTTATATCGGATATCAAACTAGAAGTTCTAGCCAGCACAGAAAAATAAGGAAAAGAATGAACACTCAAGCAGGCCGAAGTGTTTATCCTAATTGTTTTGGGTAAAAAGGTTGAAATATTCTGGCCCTCAGTTGGCATTTCTCCACTATTCTAACTCAAAATATTCTAATTCTTTGATTCATGGTAAAATCACTCTAGAACCACAGTAGTGAACAGAAAAGAATGGTTTGAATGTGTAGGAACCACTTGTGTTTTAAACAGTGTTCTAAAGCCCTTTCACAGTTTATCTTCAGCCAGTTGAATCTGCATTTTGCAGTTTTGCATAAATAGAAACTTGAAAATTTAAAATACTTAATTTGCTTACCTGTCTCTTTCTTCTTAGATATGATGAAGTTTAAAGCATTTTTTGGAGCACCCACCGTGAGCTGGGATTTTATAGGCTTTATGTCATTTGTTCTTCTAGGAGCCTTTGTGGCTGGTTACCCAGTATGTTTGATAAGAGAAATTAAGGTTCAGAAATATAAAGTAACTTTCCCAAAGCTACAAAGCCAGTAAGCAGAACAAAGACTAATAGCTACCATTTTTGGAAAGTCAGTGAAGTGTCAGAAACATACAGGGTCTGGCACAAAATAACACCCCTTTTTTTACTACAAAATCATAAGCGTGTGATTCTGTAACATAACAACATCACACTCCAGCACACCATATGACATTTCAGGTGAAATGTTCAAATTAAAGCTATAAAGCATTACACCCATATTATTACCCTACAAGTCACACTCAAGCAGGCGTTACTTCTGCTGGACCCTATGTTTTAGGCACATTATAGACTTTATCTCATTTAATCCTCACAGTAGCCTAACAAGGTAGATGCTGTCTCCGTTTTACTGGTGAAGACTCCAGAGCCCCAAGAGTTAACTGACCGGTCACATGGCTGGCTGGTCAGGAGATCCAAGGCTGGATTGCTCCCACAATACTGTAGGGCAGAATTGTCTTTAGTAAACAGAACCCTATAGTAAGGGGCATTTCTGCGTGAGAACTGATGGCTACCATTATGATTTTCACATTTGTGAACGTAGGTTTTTACTTTCAGAAACCTCCCACTGCAGCACATTGGAAGCTTTCTTTTGCTTAAGATCCTCCTCCCCGACTAACCTCCCAATGTATTCTCAAAGTTCACACTCTTTTATAATTGTCAGTATTCTTGTCTCCCTTCTTCATTAGACTCTAAACTATGAGAAAGAGGGGGAAAAAAGACACAAAAACGACCCTCTCACTGACTGTGATTTCCTCAGCACTGAGCTTGCTCTCGTTGGTGACTACGTATTTTTTATTGGATGTCAGTAGAAAAGACTACTTAACGCGACTGTGTTGTTTCCTTATTTGATTCAAGATGACTTTTGTTGTTTACTAAACATAGACACAACAGAATTGATTGAATTACCTGAGCCTGAAGCCGTGGAACTAGAGCATTCAGATGAGGAAGAGATGGAAAATAGATGTGAGAGTGTGTCAGGCAACAACGAAGAACGAGGAAACCCTGATCCAGTCACTTGTGAAGGAACATCAGCTGAGGAAACTGAATGTATCACCAAGTCCTTCTCTTCCCTTCCACGTAATAAGGAAGAGTTGGAGAGAACAATTAAAAATATCCAAGGAACCATAACTGGGGATATCCTACCCAGGCTACATAAATGCCTGGCATCTACGGTAATCACTGTGTTTGGGGCCTGGCAGGTCTGTGTGAATTGGGGTGTTTGTGGGGCCCGGTCTGCCTTAGGCTCATAACTATTGATTGACGTCAGCTTTTGGATTTTCTTCTCGCTCCACATTGCTCGATTCACCTGCTTCCTCGTCTCGTTATCTTCAGGTTCGTCTGCTGCAGCTAGGCGGTAGTGTTCCGTCTTCATTATGATTTCATATGGTAGATGTACGCTTTTCTGTCTCTGAAGTAGATAGTGAGATGACTCCCATTTCTAAAACAGGTTATTAAAATTAGAGTCTGTTTCCCCTTTTTACTTCTTGGTGGCTGCTTTTCTACTGTTCAAAATTATCTTCCCCCTGGCTAACAGGGATAACATTTCGCAGTGGATCCTCATGAAGCCAGAGCCCTTCCTCCTCACTGTATACCACATGGGTTGGTAAACTGGCCCTGGGCTTGCATCTGGCCTGCAGCCTGTTTTTATGAATGGAGTTTTAGCGAAACACACTTACATTTGTTTATTAAATACTGTCTAATTCTGCTTCTGCGTTACCACAGCAGAGTTGAATACTTTCCACAGAAACCCAACCAAAAATATTCACTGTCTGGCCCTCTAAGAAAAACTTGGGCCAGCCCCTGGTGTAAAATATTGGCTTGGTCATTTCATGTTTTAGTAAATAATCTTATTTGAGATGCTTTATTTCGTATGTACCAACAATGTTACTCAGATACTTGAAAGTCCTACTTGATACAAATTTTATGTGAGTTTTATATATTTCACAGCAGTTATAGCCTGCATTAGTAAAAATTTGCCTTTGTTATTTTCTGGTTGCTCCTCTGGAAAAACATTTGTATTCCTATTATTTTTACAATTTTTAGAGGCTTGTTCTTAAATTGCATTATTTAGGGGTTGTTTTTTACTGTATTTTTATTGTTGGCACTATTGCAGATGTCCCCATTTTCTCCCCCTTTGCCCACCTCCACCCAGCCCCCGCCCCCTTCCCTCTGGCCATCACCACACTGTTGTCCGTGTCTGTGGGTCATGCACATATGTTCTTTGGCTCATCCCTTCACCGTCCTTCATCCAGTCTCCTCCTCCCCCTTCCCTCTCTCTTCCGACCACTCTCAGTCTGCTCCATGTATCCATGCGTCTGTTTCTATTTTGTTCATCAATTTTTTTGTTCATTAGATTCCACATATAAGTGAAATCATATGGTATTGGTCTTTCTCTGATTGGTTTATTTCACTTAGTATAATAATCTGCAGGTCTGTTTTTTAAGGCACTGTCCTTAGTAATGGACATAAGCTCTATCAAAAGAGGTTATTTTTCAAATGAAAGGTTGTAGTGTTGGTAGGTGACCCATTTATTTCAATTTTTCTTTAACCTAATTTTTTTCTTACAGACTAAAAGGGAAGAAGAACACAAGCTCATAAAATCCAAGGTTGTGAATGATGAGGAGGTGGCTCGTGTTCCTTTAGCTTTTGCCATGGTTAAACTAATGCAGTCCCTTCCACGAGAAGTTATGGAAACCAATCTGCCAAGGTATGTTGTGTGACAGTTGGAAACGTTTCGTGACATCAAAACTTGGTTCTTTCTTCCTGACTTTTGAGTCTCTTTTATCAGGAAGAAGGGGAATACTGTCATAAGCTGCTGTGGTTTACAAAATCCTAATTGGGAATTTGGGGTTATGGGCAACTAAGAGAGAAAAGAATGTTTGTATTTTTATTTGCTTACTTTTTTTTGATTAGTCATTTTTTAATTTCTCATTTTCTAGCGTTTTGCTGAAAGTGTGTGCCCTCCTCAAGAATAGAGCACAAGAAATCAGAGACATTGCACGCAGCACTCTTGGAAAAATAATAGAAGATTTGGGTGTGCACTACCTGCAATATGTTTTTAAAGAATTACAAACTACCCTTGTCCGTGGATATCAGGTAAATGCCAGCATGTGCTTTATTTTCAAGTTGGATTGGAGTTTGCATATTTGCAGTTTGAACACTAAGTCATGGTGCTTTGGGTCTTCCTTCAGTATGGTTGACCTGCTGAGATAGCAGTCAAGAACAGCCAAAGGGTTCTAATCAGTATTTTAAAAAGCTCATGTTATTTGATTTTTGTAAAAATTATAGGCCTAGGTTACATAACCTGTCATTTTCTCTTAAATCAGTTCATATCAAGATCTGCATTCTCTAACTTCTTTAAAAGATTCTTAATGAAAGTATTGACACCAGTGTGAACAGTAAAGAATATACACTCTGTTTAAGAGTTGAAAAATAGGACATAAGTCTTAAAATAATATCTCCAGGTGGAGTACAAAGCTCTCTGAGTAGTTACGTGGCTCCCTTCCTCCTCACCTCTCCCAGCGTGGGCTCTGGGCGGGCACCGTCAGCAGCTACGGGAAGCCTGTTAGAAATGCAGAGTTTAGGGCCACACCGTAAATGCACCTTGTGCGCCTGACCTACCCAGGTGCCTTTTATTAAGATTGCTGAGTGATCTCAAGTTAGAGAAACTGTAGCTTGTTCTTTTCAAGTCCAGCCTAGTCTCCTGGTAGTTAGCTTTCCCTTCCATGTCTTCATTTCCTCATAGGTAAGGTTCCTGTTCTACACTTTATAAGTCTAACACTAAGAATACCAGCATTCATTTTGACCATCTCTCTTTGTATAGTTTTTTAGTGGCTGCTGTAGGGATTACCACATACACATTTACCTATAATGGGCTGCTAAGAGTCACTATTTTACCACTTCAAGTCGAATGTAAATATCATATAGGTCCCTTCGCCCTTACCTTTTCGTTTTATAGTTGTCTCTGTATTACGTTGCCATATATTGAAAGCGTTATCAGGCAGTGTGATAGTTTTGCTTTTAATCACCAAACCTATTTTAAAGAATTTGAGAAGCGTAGTCTATTTTTTTGTCCAGATTTTTAGTCTATTTTCTACTGTTCTTCCTTCATTTCTAAATTTCCATGCTTTTTTAAAAATATATTTTATTGATTATGCTCTTACAGTTGTTCCAGTTTTTCCCCCTTTGCGCCCCTCCATGCAGTACCCCCTTCCCTCCAGCAGTCCCCGCCGTTAGTTCATGTCCATGGGTTGTGCATATAAGCTTCTTGGCTACTCCGTTTCCTATACTGTTCTTAACATCCCCCTGTGTATTTTGTACCTACCAATTGTGCTTCCTCATTTCTACACTTTCTTCCCCCATTCTCCCCTTTTCCCCCCTCCCAGCTGATAACCCTCCAAGTGATCTCTATGTCTGTAATTCTGTTCCTGTTCTGGTTGTTTGCTTAATTTGTTTTTTTAGATTCAGTTGTTGATAGCTGGGAATTTGTTGCCTTTTTAATATTCACAGTTTTGATCTTCTTTTTCTTAAATAAGTCCCTTTCATGTAATAATAGCTTGGCGATGATGAACTCCTTTAGCTTTACCTTGTCTGGGAAGCACTTTATCTGCCCTTCTATTCTGAATGATAGCTTTGCTGGATACAGTAATCTAGGTTGTAGGTCCCTGCTTTCCATCCCTTTGAATACTTCTTCCCAGCCCCTTCTTGCCTGCAAAGTTTCTTTAAGGAAATGCGCTGATAGTCTTATAGAAACTCCTTTGTAGGTAACTCTCTGCTTTTCTCTTGCTGCTTTTAAGATTCTCTCTTTATATTTTCTCTTCTTGCTCTTCTGGTTTAACTCTTCTTTCTTCCTTATGTTCCAAATTGTTGATTTGAATCCTGGCTTTCTCCCCTTCACTGTTGGTTCCCCGTAGGTTTTTATTTCAATTAGTGCAACCTTTATTTCTTCCTTTATGTTGTTGCCATACTCAGTGAGTTCTTGAAGCATCTTGGTCACCAGTGTTTTGAACTCTGCATCTTGTAGGTTGGGCACTAAGCATACAAAGATAAATAAAGTACAGCTGTGTCTTGAAGGATTTATTCAAAATTTAATGGAGCACCTATGGTATTTGAATGAATAGCTCTTTAACTACCTGCTTTTCAAGCCCATCCCATTATTTATTAAAATAACTAAAATAGAGACGTAGTAAAGAGTAAATGGGTCAAATACATGGTGATGGAAGAAGATTTTACTTTAACCAATGTCATCCCAATAAACTTAATAAAAAATAATAATTAAAATAGAGGGCCACTGGTTTGTGTGTTAATGCTAATCATGCAGACACTACCTAAATTGTACTCTTTGGGTGTCAGTCCTCATCCTCCCACATGGGTTTTTTAAAATTATATAAAGCCCGCAACAAAAATTTTAAATATGTAAAAGCACTGAAAGATCACAAGTAGACACATAGGAAATTATGCCTTTAAAATCCAGTCTGTGTATTGACAACCAAGTGAGTGTCCTTAGCCTGTGGCCATTATCTGACGTTTACCTTGATAATTTCATGGTTCTGGAAGCAGTAGAAAGAGTCAGAAAGCTTGAGAGGCAGTGCAGCACAGTGATGCAGAGCTGGGGCTCTGGTGCCAGCCCATCTGGTTTCAGATCCTGCCTCCACCCCTTCCTACCCATGTGACCTGGGCAAGTTACTTGACCTCTCTGTGCTTCAGCTTTCTCTTCTAAAAAATGCCAGTAACATAACACCTAGATCACAGAATGGGTAAGGATTAAATGAGGTATTGAGCACATGTGAGATATTAATGTGTGCCTAGCCTATGGTATAAGCTCTTAGGAATGTTAGCCATCATTATTCTTGAGGGCAAAAACTTATTTTGTGTCTTTCATAACACTGTATGTGCCAGCTTTGATTGCATTCAACATTGGTAAACACCTTAATTTGGGGGTTGATTTGTAAAGTTCAAGGCTCTTGTGCCTTTATAAATCCCTGGCCTGGTTTAGTTGCCATAATCCTAAGCATGGTTATATGTTTCCAAGTGTCTTTTGTATAAAGTGACCACTTGGTTGAATGATTTTAGATGGCGATACAAGCATGTGTCATTTGTCAAAGCTTCTCCCTGCAATAATGACAGGTATATACTCTAAGCGTTCTCCTTGCAGTAGTTTTTAGCTCTTCTTTTTTTACTAGTGTGGTGTTCTTAACCATTCATACTTTTTTAATGCATTTCATTATAGGTCCACGTACTGACTTACACTGTTTACATGTTGCTGCATGGCCTTACCAACAAGCTACAAGTTGGAGATTTGGACTCTTCTTTAGATATAATGATTGAGGTAAGATTTAGAGAAAGGCATTCTAAATTTTTTTAAGTGGGCAAAAGACACCAAAAAATCAGCTCACAAAATAAGATAGAATTATAGCCTGCGAAAATGAAAATTATGTGCTCTCTTATGTCTCGGATGAGCAGGTTGTAAAGCTAAGACTCCAGTGAGGTGAGCATGGTGCTCTCCCTGCTGGGAGGCCATGAGTCGGTATGGCCTTTCTGGAAGAAATTGGCACTGTGTAGCAAGAGCTTTGGAAATGAGCAGCAGTTTCCACCACTTCCAAAAATTTGTCTTAAAACAATAATCAGAGATGTCATCTGTGGTTTATATAGAAGTATGTTTACCAAAGTTTTATTAATAATAGTGAAAAATTAATAACTTTTAAAATTGAATAATTTGATAATTTGTAGGGGGGTAAGATTGGGAAAAGGTTAAATTTGCCACATAACATTTTATTTATTTAAAACTACAGACACTAACATTTTGAATTAAATGTATTAATTTTGATAACTAAGTTGCAAATGTCATGAGAATTCGTAAAAAGAAAGCAAGCTATTCTGTGGTAATATCTAAGACTTGTCTATACATTATACAGTTCTGTGTCTAAATCTGTGTAGTACAGTAGGTCCTTGAATAATGTCATTTCATTATAACATTGGCAAAATATTTATATCAATTAGCCTATGGTAACTGGTGGTGTTAACAGGCCATTTCACTTACAGTTGCAGAACCTACTGATGACATTGAAAACCTGCTGTGTTTTTCCTTTGTTTCCCATTGGCATAAACCTTTAGGTGTTTCTGTATTTGTTTTTTAGTAACTGGTCCCTAAACTACACTGGGAAAAAAGTGAAATCTAATACAAATTCCTACCATCTAATTTCAGTCCAGTCCAACTTGCTTTCCTTGAGTTGGAAGTACCCGTGCTCTTTTCACAGACTGCTTATGTTGGCGTATCTTGCTGAATGTACGTAACTGCCATTTGGCTTTTTTTCTTTTAAAGATTTTTAATCACGAGCTGTTTGGTGCCATTGCTGAAGAGAAGGAAGTAAAGCAGATCCTCTCCAAAGTCATGGAGGCACGAAGAAGCAAGAGTTATGATTCTTACGAAATCCTGGGCAAGTTTGTAGGAAAAGATCAGGTTACAAAACTTATCCTTCCGCTAAAAGAGGTGAGAACTTAAATGCATACCGGGGGATCTCAAAAAGAGCCTCTCAGGGCAAACCCTGACACTGCTCTTGTTCATGACTTCCCGTCATGAACACCTGATGGCCACGAGCCGGCAGCCCTGAGTTGAGCATTCTAATTCAAAAGTCAGACCCTGATGTGAACCATGAGGTGCAGAAGGAAGGAGCAATTGAATAGTACAGCTGGTCCAGTCAGCAGCTAAGAATGTAGCCTTTGGAGTCAGACTGCTGCTCCCAGAATGCCAAGAGGAAGAAACTGGCCTTTGTTGAGTATATATTATGTTCTAAATGCCGTGCTTCATTATCTGTCCTGATCTGTACAACTCCCCTATGCGATCAATGGTATTTCCACGTTAGAGCTAGAGAAAGTTAGGCTCATGAGGGTAGTAGGGAACATGGTTAAGAAGGAGAGTAAAGATTTAGTTCCAGATCTTTCTGATCCACAGCTAACATTTTTCTGCTCTTTCTGCCTCTTACTGGGCAGGGACTGTAATTTACCTCCCTCCGTAGAGTTCTCTGTGCTTATTGCATGGGTGGACATTCAATAAACATTATTAATTCTCTTTATCACAGTTTTATGTTCTAAAACTAGAGCAGAAAGTACTATCTAATGGCATGAATTAACTATTAATTCCAAATATTTTGGTGCTAGAATAACTCCATAATTGTTCCTAGAATGCATTTAGCCTGATCTAAGAATATTAGATATGTTTGGAGGATGAAAAAGAGTAACCAGAGCACATGCATTTTCCATGTATATTATTAAATCCCTTCAACGTAAGGAAAGTTATTAATACTGGGTCCTATGCAAGGGAATAGCTTTTAATGCACTTGGAGGGTCAGCATCTTACAAGTGTCCCATCATGTCTCCCGCTGTGTACACTCAGGCCTCAGCAGCAAAGAGCAGAGAGAAATGCAGGAAGCTCAGAGGCACCCACGCTGCTGGCCGGGATTTCCTCTGGGGTTGAGGTTATGGGTAAATTTGACTATATATGTTACATCTGTTTGAAATTTTATTAAGAATGTGCTTTTAATAACTAGAAGAAGTATATCTTTTAAATATATGTGTTAAATATATATATATATATATTTTAAACTACCATTACAACAAATCCAAATACAGTCCTGTGTTACCTCAGAATGCCATTTGTGTTTGCCTTTAGATCTTACAAAATACCACGAGTTTAAAACTGGCCCGGAAAGTTCATGAGACCTTACGCCGAATTATTGCAGGATTAATTGTAAATCAGGAAATGACAGCAGAATCCATTCTTTTGCTCAGTTATGGTTTGGTCAGTGAAAATCTCCCCCTGTTAACAGAGAAAGAAAAGTAAGTTTAAAAAGAAAAAAAGAAACTATCATTTAGGTGTTTGCTTCTGTTAAGCCATTCAGTTCTAATTTACTTTTAATTTAATAATTTGTTTTAGTAAAAAAAGTTAATATTTATCTGAGTTATAAGATGGTTCTACTTTGTGGTGTTTGGGCTGAAAGCCTTCCAAGTGATACATCTCATGAGATTTTCCTGATGAGTGACTGTTTTTCTAATGAATGAGGTTGCTGTGACAGCAGCCTCTTTTTTTTTTTTTTGTCATATCTCTGATACTGTCTCTGTTTTGGATATTTATTAAATCAAAGTTAGGATAAAATTTAAATACATACCTTGTGTTCTGAACAAATGGAAATTTAGACCTTAAAAGATTTAAAAATGCCATTTTGGTAAACTTCCTGTAAATTTTTTGTGTCCTAAAAGAAACTCTTGGCAGTCGTGTTCAGAAATCAAAGAAAGGGAGTGCCCCTTGCTGTTCATCTGAATTTGGGGGTGTTCTCTGTTTCTTATGGTTAAGGGAGAAAAACCCCCCCGGCAAACAGCACTTTATTTCGTGCTCACCTCTCACCTGCAGAGAGGGCAGCAGTAGCCCCTGCGAATGCAACATAGGGTGTTCCTTCCTTTATTTTTTATTTCACTGTGATCGACAGAAATCCAGCGGCCCCTGCCCCAGATCCACGCCTGCCACCCCAGAGCTGTCTTCTCCTCCCCCCAGCTCCGGTCCGAGGTGGGCAGAAGGCTGTTGTGAGCAGGAAGACCAACATGCACATATTTATTGAGTCTGGGCTTCGGGTAAGAACCTTAAAGTGAGACTCACCGCCCACAGTGGGTCTGTGCCTTTTACTGCTCTGCTGGATTTCTAGTGTTACTTATTTCCACTGTAAATGCCTTACCATAAATAAGTTACAGGATTTTTTTAAAGGTGTATTGGTCCATTTACTATTTTTCTCTTCTAGTACTTCGATAATATAACTCTCTGAGAATTAATGACCCTGACTTAATATTTATTATGGTTTCCATGTTGTTTTGCCCATGAGTTTGCACCTCTAAACTACGTTGAATTTTTTGAAAAGGTAGCGAGCTTTTAAAAACACAAGTCTGATCATTTCCTTTAAAAACCCTTCATTGGCTTCCATTTTTCCCAGGAGAGAGCCAGTCCTTCATTTGGACTGCAAGGGTCTCGCCTCTTACTGTACCGTTTCAACACATGTTCCAGCCACACATGGCTTTCCCTCAGTTCTTAAAGTCTCCACCCCATGCCTACCCTCCCTCTGCCCCGATCCCCACAGAACCCCGCATTTACAATGAATTATCTCCTAGAGTCTGTCTCCCCAGCTGAGATCCATCAGTGCAGGGACCGTGTACATGTTGGTCATCACCATGTCCTGTGTGCCGAGCCAGTGCCTGGAATCAAAGTAGATGCTGAGTAAAACCATTTGGTAAACTTAGAACCTCAGCTGCACCATGAATTCCTGCCTTCTTCCCTTACTGAGACTCTCCTAGGCAGTTTTCCATTTTTTCAAAATTTTTATATATCAAATAGGAGCATCTTAACATTTCAGGCTGTCTCTTAAAATTATTTCACCTTTACCTAACTCATTTGGTCTTAAGGGTACCTGCCTACTCTGAAATACCTTTTGAAATCTTTCAGCTCCTGCATCTGAGCCTGAAGACTTCCAAGATCAAGTCTTCAAGTGAACGCGTTCTAGAAATGTTGGATCCCTTTGTGTCTCTCCTCATAGACTGCCTGGGCTCCATGGATGTGAAGGTGAGCACCTCCTCCTTCACAAGAGCTGCGCCGTGCAGAATACCTAGGACTTCACTTCTAGGCTTGTGCGTTACTAGATAGTTGGGGTTTTAAAGGGATTTAGGACATCATGAGCCACTTCTATTCCCTGCGTTAAATGGCTCCCCAATTTAGTAATCCCATACGTTTGGATAGCCCTTATTAGTTTTAAAAGCCCTTCTCTGTACAGTAATTACTCCATTTGGCCCTTGCGGCACCTTCAGGAGGGCGAGTGGTGGTGTCCCTATATGTCAGTGATCACCGTCACCGTCCCTGCCCCTGCTCACTGCTGTGCATCTGAGGAGAACCCACAGGGCGTCCAGTGTTACTTTTTCTGCAGTATAGATGCAAAAACTAGGCCTTAGACTAAGTGACTTGCCCCGATCATAGATGCGAGATATGAGCCTCAGTCTCAGGCTCCAAAGCCGCCACTCTCCCACGTCCTCGGCTTGTCTGTTTTGTGATGAAGGCTCTGAGAGGTTAAGTGACATCTCTGTAGTCAAAGCTGCGGAGCCGGGGTTTATGCCCCGGTCTCTTTGACTCCGGAGCTTTTTCCTCTCTCTCTCATCCGCTCTAACCCAGAAGGGCCGTCACAGCGACTAGAGCGCAGGAGCCTTTGGGTGGAGCGGGACTAGGTGAACAAGCTGATCTAGGCACCTCTGAGGTTTGGCCTGGGGGGCAGGGATTCTCATGTAAATCAGTGAGTCCCAGCTCACTTTTTTTAATACTTTTTGCACAGGAGTTAACAGTTTTAAATTATAGTTCATTGTTTCCCATGCTTAATTTCTAAGCCAGCTATCTGCTCCATTAAGTAGGTGATGGCATCCTTTTTGTCTTTGTATTTATAATATTAGTGTCTTGTATGCATAATATAAGCTTAATAAGAATGATTAAATTGAAGTACCATTTTAGAAAAAAGTCATTTATAAAAGAGAAAGGTTTCAAAAAAAAGTTAAAAATGGGTTAATTTATGCTACTATTTACCCATATGGGTTAAGGATACAGTAAGTGAGTTTGTGATACATCCTGACTTGCCTTGGCGGGGCAGTAAATTCTTCCACAACAGGGAACGGGAAACTTACATATCTTCTTACTCTTGGGGCACCGTTTTTCCAGAGGGGCCTGGGCAGAGCATTGTATCCCTTCACGATTGCCTAGAGAGTACACAGCCTCAGGTGCTGGGTTATTGAGTGTGGTCACTATAAGTTGATTGGTTTTGTTTTTCAGGTGATCACAGGTGCGTTACAGTGCCTGATCTGGGTCTTGAGGTTCCCTCTGCCGTCCATAGAAACCAAAGCGGAGCAGCTGACGAAACACCTCTTCCTTTTGCTGAAGGACTATGCAAAGCTTGGGGCTGCCAAGGGGCAGAATTTCCACCTGGTGGTAAATTGTTTCAAGGTGAGGCAGTTTCACTTCCACTTAGGAAGAGGCAGGCCCAGGATTAACATCAAAGTTAGTTTTCCACATCGTCCTTTGTCATCTTGGTCAAAATTTTTTCCAGATAATTTGCTAAGGCCAGAGGGTTGGCATGCTATGCAAAAAAGCATTTACATTGTATTAAGTCCTCATGATTTCACTGGATCCTGATTTGTGGGACATCCGGCCATTAACCTCACTATTGTAACTTGCAGTGTGTGACCATACTTGTGAAGAAAGTGAAGTCTTACCAGGTAACTGAAAAGCAGCTTCAGGTTCTGCTAGCATATGCTGAGGAGGACATTTATGATACATCCAGACAAGCCACTGCATTTGGTCTCCTAAAGGTATGGTATCATCAGAATATTGGATTTTACAGTTTATGAGCCTCATGTCAGATATTTAAAATAACATGGAACACAGTGTTTTGACTAGCTGTAGGCTTGCAAATTGAGTAATTTATAAAAACGATAATTTTGGTGGTTATTAAAATGTTTGAATGTGAGCTTACGTTAACAGTTCCAGGGAATTCTATATAAATACAGGTATGTACTTGTATTTATCATACTGGACATTGTTTTCCTTTAATTTTGGTGAAATATACATAACATAAAATTGCATGTTTTCATGATTTTTAAGTAGATGTCCTTTTTCTTTTGGAGGTACTTCCGTTATGTTTGAAAACTGCCTGTGACTATTTGCACATCAGGTCAGCTCACGCCCATCTGCAATAGAACATGAAGAGTATGCCTTTTCCTTATGTATTTTAGGCCATTTTATCAAGGAAGTTGCTGGTTCCAGAAATCGATGATGTCATGCGGAAAGTATCCAAGTTGGCAGTTTCTGCACAAAGCGAACCTGTCCGAGTCCAGTGCAGACAGGTTTGTAGAGAACTCACTCCCACAGCCAGGCCTGGGCCCTGCGTTCTCCATTTGGTTTTTAGATAGATGTCAACATGTACTGAATTCTGAAGGCGACTTGGTGTTGTGTTGATGCTTTATTCTGTGACTCGGGGACCCATCTACACTCCAAATGTGAGAAGGATCTCAGCTTTGTCCTAGGTTTTCAGTTGACATGGGGCATTTTGAGTGTCGCCCCCTGTAGGAGGCGTGTTCAGGTAGATGAAGCAGCCCCTCCTCCCTCTGCAGCTTGGCAGTTGCAGCGAGGATTTCAGTGCAGCGGTCCAGCTGTCGGCTCCTTCCGCACGTTCCTGTGTGGCATTGCTGCTGTAAAAGTGGCCACCAAAATTCCTACAGACCCTATTGTACAGATAGGCACAGGACAAAATTCCACACACAGTTATTTAAAAACCGACATCATTAGTGCCGGGAGGAAAGAAGTATTATCAGACTTCATTGCAGGACACGCCATTATTTATATGTCCCAAACCAAAACAAAAATAACATATGACACATGAGCAATGAGCCATCAGTGTAAGACACATCCCAATTCCAGACGTTAAAATGTGAAAAACTCTGCTGCTTCAAATTGACGAAATACGGAAGAGCATATGGTGAGAGCATGTGATCAGGTGGGGAACCAGCCTCGTCCGAGAGTGGGGAAAGGCTGTCCCGAGCATTGGCATGGGGGCGACATTTGAGGGAAGAACAAGGGGGCTTCGCCTTCCAGGTAAAGGGAGTGGCAACTGCCAGGGGAAGATAACTTCGAGGCAGGTAAGAGCTTAGCTTGTTGGAGGAGATAAATGAAGGTGAGTGAGATGGGGAAGGGAGCCAGGGCAGGCGAGACCTTGCGGTCTGGTGAAAGATTTAGGGCTTTGTTCTGAGAACAGCAAAAAACTGTTGCAATCAATAGGCGGGGGAGTGATGTGAGCAGATTTGGGCTCATACATTAGTCCATGCCTAATCATGGGAGTGCCCTTCAACCCAGAAGACGGACGGGTCTGAGTTGGAAGTATGAACTCGGAGGTAAAGGAGGGTTTGGGCTGCTAAGGAGGCCAGGAAGGAAAGGGAAGAAGCTTGTCTTGAGAAAGAGTTTCTTAACTACTGTTAGGAAGGAGGACCACCTGCTATTTATTAAGCATTAGCTGTGTGCCTGGCACTTGACTTACATGACTTCTATTTGTAACAGTCCTTCAAAGGAAATAATACACCCATTTTATGGCTAAGGGAAAAAACAGGCCTGGCTAGTTCTTAGCTGATTAATAAAAGAGGCTGAATAGTATATAGTTTGAAAGCAGAGCCTTTGGATGCAGGCAGATAAGTCATTGCCCCCTGAGTAAGTGACTGACTTTTTTTTTGCCAAACTCATTCTCTTCATCTGTAAAATGGGGTAACAGTTACACTTATTTCCTAAGCAAGTAATGAAAATTAACCGAGAAACACTTAACCCAGTGTTACGCACATAGAAAATAAAGGCAACAGTTATTATCAGTATTAATGTTACTGTCACCATTATTGCTGTTCTTACTCAAGGGGGAAGTACAGGGTTGAACCGCAATCTGTATTCAGTGCCCTCTACCCCACCACACCACCTATCAGAGAGGAGTCTGCATCGTGCGAGCTTAGAGTCAGAGCCACACACACGCTGGGGCGGGCCAGGGCTGGACTCCCAGTCAGGCGCGCAGCGCAGGACCTGGATACGTGAAGAGGGGAAGGGGGACACCTGTCAACTTCGCCTAACCGATCCCTCTTCTGAGTGGTCTTTTTGAACCTACCAACGTGTCCCAGAAAGCAGCTGAGGAAAAGGGACCCTGGAGAGAGAGGATCCCGGTAATCTTTTGTGTGACTTCTATTCCCAGGTTTATCTGAAATACATTCTTGACTATCCCTTGGGTGATAAATTGAGACCAAACTTGGAATTCATGCTCGCTCAACTGAAGTAAGTTTAAGCCATAAACTACACAGAGGCGGTGGGGTAGTTTCTTCTCTTTTAATGTGGGAGCTATTTTGAAAAGAACAAGCCTAAACATAATGGCACATTCTCTGAGGATGATCTGTGAATCGTTGACTGAACCAGCAAAGATTGTGCGTGGCTTTGTATAGCAGCTCTGTACATTGCTTTTCACTTCAGTCCGACCATTGGCTGTCGTTTAGGAGTCCACTTAGGAGAAGGGTAAAGATCTAACAAAATTACATTTAACACTGCATGGTGGCATGATCTATACAAGCATTAAAATTAGGAAAATGGAGTGTTTTCCACTTTTTAAGAAATAGACTGGCACCTTGAGACAATGTTACATAGAAAATATGCACATAGAAAATTATTCTTAAAAATAATTATTGGTAAATTTAAAAGACCCTAACAAGTCCTTCTAATGTTCTTGCTCTAGTTACGAACATGAGACGGGGAGAGAGTCCACCTTGGAAATGATTGCTTATCTCTTTGACACATTCCCTCAGGTACCGTATGTCAGAGAGACAAACTGATAGCCGTGTTTCCCTTGACCCCTGGGGGCCCGCCGCCCTCCTTTTTGGGGCATCTGCAAGCTTCCAGTCTGGGTGTGCTCCTAAGTGCCTGTTTTCTTTTAGGGACTGCTGCACGAGAACTGCGGGATGTTCTTTATTCCCCTCTGTCTAATGATGGTGAATGATGGCTCGGCCACGTGTAAGAAGATGGCATCCATGACGATCAAATCCTTACTCAGTAAAATCAGCCTTGAGAAAAAAGACTGGCTTTTCGAAATGGTCACCAACTGGTTTGGAGCAAAGAAGGTTAGGGTTGCCTTTAGTCTTATTTCAATGAAAAGTCTTAGCTTTTGGTTTTCGTACTTTATATAAGATATATACATTGTCGAATTGATTTTTCCCAAATAGCTTTATCATTTGTACTTGATTGTGTTAATACTATATTTTCATAGTAAAACTTCAGAACAGGTACCAAGTTGTAGAGGTGACGTCCGTACCCCCAGCAGTCCGACTAGGTGGTGAATGTCAGCCACTCACGCCACTGTATGAACGCATCGTAATTTACCAGCCCCCGTGTTGAGCACTTTTGTTTCCAATTTTTCTTTTTTGCTTATTTGATTGATGGAATGTCATTTTTGTCAGCGGTCATGTCCACTTGCTGACTCTGCCACTGTCACCACTGGCCCATCTTTTGTGGAATATAAGCAACACATGTTGTTTAATACCAGTTTATGTATTAAAGTTAGAGTTGGGGGGTGCGGGGAAGTGATAATGAAACTTTTCTATTTTTGTTTTTGTTTTTTTATTTAAAATGAGAAAAATGTATTATTCAGTGGGTAACGATGAGTATCAGTTCTTTAAAATGTTTTTCTTGAGTATGAAGATTTCTCCATTATTCTTGTTAGCCAACAATGATCCATTTTCCATTGATTTCTGGTTTCATGAAGAATGATTGAGAACAGAACCTTGCCCATCTTTGTTTTGTAGTATTGGAAACAGCCTCCCAAGTTGTGGTGACAGTCTTGTGGTGGTTTGTTTTTGTAGAGATTAAATAGACAACTAGCTGCCATGGTCTGTGGCTTGTTTGCGGAAAGCGAAGGAGTCACTTTTGAAAGAAGGCTTGGAACTGTTCTCCCTGTGATTGAGAAGGAAATTGACCCTGAAAACTTTGAGGATGTAAGTACTTTGCTAGGAGCTAGGGGATAAAAAGTTTTGCTTATTTTTAGTTTTGCTTCAGATGATATAGTCAATAGATTAAATAATGTGTACAAAATGCTTTTTTATTAATAAAAGCAAGAATTTAATGCAGTTGGATCTTTTTTAAATGAAGGGTAAGGTAAATTATCTTCCATAGAATATGACAGTCAAATGTTCTCAAGCAGGGTGATTTTGGCCCCCAGGAGACATTTAGGAATGTCCGGAGACATTTTTGGTTGTCACACCTGGAAGGTAGAAGGTACCTCTGGCCTCTAGTGGGGAGAAGCCACGGATGTTGCTAAACGTCCCGTGGTACCCAGGGCAGCCTCCCGCAGCGGAGACTCATCCAGTCGCAGTGTCAGTAGTGCCGAGGTTGAGAAGCCCTGATGTAGATTTACATGCTGGGATACAAATGTCCATCGAATACTTTGAAATTGTTGTGTTAATTCATTTGCTTCCATCCTGTTTCTAGATCATGGAAGAGACTGAAGAAAAAGCTGCAGACCGCCTTCTGTTTAGTTTTCTTACTCTGATAAGCAAACTCATCAAGGAGTGTAACATTATTCAGTTCACCAAACCCTCTCAGACTTTGAGCAAAATCTGGAGTGAGTATTTTCTTTTTGTTTAAATCTAAAAATAAGCACATTAGTTGTGACAGAATTATTGAAAACAGATTTGGGAAGAATTATTGAGGTGTATAAGAACAGAAAAAATTTACAAACTCCTCCTTGCTACTTGATGATTTAGTATATATTTCCCTACAGTCTTTTGGGGTTTTTTTTCTTTTTGAGGTTGCATAATTCCATATAAACTTTTATATCCTGTCTGTACCTAAGTAATATTACTATTACTATAATGTACTTAGTAGATAGCCCTTTAAATAGCTATAATAGTCCATCTTGTAAATATTCCATAATTTCCTAAACCATGTCATTGATGTGAGATTTAAGTTGTTATATGTCTTTGAATGAAAAATAATATCCCAGAATTTTAACATGTTCAATTTTGATTAGTCAGTAGGAAATAGGCATTAGAATGAATGTTTTAAGTACCCGTGTGTTTTAAGAGAATTCATGATCCTATGAGAAGTAATACCAGTACTGAGTTACTACATGGCCTACTCTGGTACGGCGCTGCTGAGACATGGCCAGGTTATCATGAAGGTTCATGTGCAAACAGAGTAAAACCATGTTCATGAAACACAGCAACAGAGACTAAACCTTAGAGATGACATGATTTGTCCACTTTTAATCCTGTTCCCCGACACTACAAGGCTTTCCACTTTACAAGTGCAGTATATGTAGAATGGCAGTGCAGCTTAGGAGCATGTCTTTGAAGGAGTCCTATATAAGAGCGTGAGCTTCGTGGCCAGGTGGGGCTGGAGCCCAGGCGTGGTTGTGCCTGTTACAGCTGGACATGGCACTTGGCTCCTCTGAAATACCCGTTTCCTCATCTGTAACAAAATGGGAATGACAATTCCAGCCTCACAGAACTGTTGTGAGGTCCAAAAGCCCCGTGCCTGGCACAAAGAAAGCATCAGTGAATGATACTTTTCCAGTAAGTTTCTTGGGGCCACCAATTTCAATGGTTAATGAGAAACAAATATATATATATTACATACACACATTAATTTAGAAGTTGTAAATGTTGATGCCACCTTACCTACCTTGAATCCGAAGCTAGTTCTTAGGGAACTGGTTGGTTTTAGGCTTCCCTCTCTCGTGCCATTTGCCACATTAGGAGTTGGTTTGCTAGTTGTTTCCACGGTCTCTCGCCTCACTGGTCCCTGGCCACACGAGTGCATCTGGGAAGCAGGGACTGTTTTGTTCATGTTAAGTTCCCACCTCCAAGCATAGAATAGGCACTCGGGAAATGCCTAAATTAGTCCTGTTCACCACCAGAGTCCGGGGACCTGTGAGACATCTGAAAGTGCATTTTGGTCCCCTTAGGTCACGTGCACGCTCACCTGAGACACCCGCACAACTGGGTGTGGCTCACTGCAGCCCAGATTTTTGGATTGCTCTTTGCCTCTTGCCAACCAGAAGAGCTTATTAGAAAACGAAATATCAAAAAAACTAAAAGGAAACTCTCAGAACCTGTAGCAGTCAGGTTCCTAACAAGTGACCTTCACCAAAAGGTAAGCTTTCTATAAAACCATTTTTTCCCTCATGATCAGTATAAGATACTCATTTTGACCCCTGGTTGGCCCCAAGGGGCCCCAGGTTGACCCTTGGGAGAAATTCTTCCAGCCAAAAGCTGGTTGCATATGTGAATCTATAGGAATGTTAGGAACCAGAGAGGGGTCACCCTCAAGACCAGGGTTTTACAGAGATAATTTTGAGACTCAGTCTAGTCAGAGATTTGCTTTGTTTATTTAGCACATTCATTTTCCATTATATGTTTAAGTTACCAGCATAGGAAAATAGGGTGAATACTATCTGTCCTATCTCCTGCATAACCTTATCGATAACCAAATAAGATCATGTGCATGAAATGTGAGGTAGGAATCATGTTATGTCTACCTCTGATTTCCTGTGGCGTAGTGTAATGCCTGGCTCATAGTGGGAATTCTCTTAATATTGATGAGTGCATGGAGGGTAGAAAAGAAGGGAAAAAAAAGTATTGGGTTGTTGCAAAGTTCTCTTCTAATAATTTCAGGGATTGTGATCTGTATCTCACCAGAGCTTGAAAGTATCCCATTTCTTTTGGCTTAAATGTTTGCGGCAGGTAGAAAGGAACCATGTATCGGTTGGCCAAAAAGTCCTTTTAGCCCTGACTGGTGTGTCTCAGTGGATTGAGCACCGGCCTGTGAACCAAAGGGTCACTGGTTCAGTTCCCAGTCAGGGCACATGCCTGGGTTGTGGGCCCGGCTCCCAGTTGGGGGCATGCAAGAGGCAACTAATCAATGCCTCTCTCTCACACTGATGTTTCTCTCCTTCTCTTTCTCCCTCCCTAACCCCTCTCTAAAAATTAATAAAATTTTTTAAAAGTCCATTTAGTTTTCTCTGTAAAATAAAAGACATTTTTCATTTTCACCAATACCTTTATTGATTTGGATATTTTGAATATGTTGGCTCCCTCCTGCATGGTGTAACATTGATTGTTCTCAATTAATATCTCGATATGATGATCACTGTCAACTTCAGCTGATAAACCTGTGGAGCAAGTGAGAAATCTCCAGCACAAAACCTTCCAAACCACTTTTGATACGTTCAGTCATTCACAGAACCTTCTCCATACACTGCACAGGTCTTTTTTGCGTTTCAGTTGTGTTTTTACCTTTCTTGAAATAATAAAGCATAATATGCCAAAAATGTTGATTATTTTCTTCCATCTTAAGTATTAAAATGGCTACACAAAAATTCACCAATTTTGATGCTTTTTTAAAATGCCCTCTGATGTGACAGCTGTCATAATACAATCTAACAAAATTGTTTCAAATGAAGTTAAAAACAACCAAGCGCTACTAGAGCCATCTTATGGGGGAAAAAAGCCAAATGAACTTTTTGGCCAGCCCGATACAATTTTTGGTCACGGATTTTCCCTCTCCAGATCTATACAAGTGATCATAGCAAAATCTAGTATCTTAATTGCATTATTATGATTACTCAGGAACACCTTGCGTTATGTCTGACGTCCATTTTCTTTTCACAGATGAGAAGTATCTCCCTAGCTTCTTGCCATCAGTTGCATTCCAAATTCTTGGACCAGTCTCAGGGAGAGCAGGTAAGTGCTATATTATAACTCTATCCAGTTAATTAGAAGGGAACTATTCTACCAACATTCCAGGAATGGACTCACATTTGGTGTTTGGTTTTTTTGTTTTGGGTTTTTTTTTCCCCCTAGTCTGCTTCGGGAATTAAATATAAACGTACACTCAAATACATGTTCATTTATGCACATATTTCTGACTGACTCTTGAGTCCATTGGGATTACTCTTGGCTCTATTTAAAATTCCCAATAAAGATGATGTAGTGGGAGGCTGTTTATTAAATCTTTTCATCTTTAGTCTTACCATATCTACTTCACATTGTGACTGAAGCTTTGAGGGGCCCTGTTTTTATATTAAATTATAATACTGAATTCCTTTTCTTAGAATTTGAAGAGAAAGCAAATAATGTTCATGCTACCATGTGATCTGAGACTTGTCTTTCCTTAGCAGAAGACAGATAATTCTATCACTATGAAGCTTTATGTGATTTCTTACTATGGAATTTAACGATAATATAAAATTAAATATAGAGAAGTCATTTATAAATAAGCAGTAAATGTAAATTACTTTGGAATAGTTGGTCTGCTGCTCCCTTTTACTTTCTTTAGAGCAGTTGGGCTGGTAGGTGATGAGGGTACACAAATGTGGTATATTCCTATGAACAAGGCACTGACCATGTCTCTTGTGAGTCACTATGGACCAGATAGGTGAATGCTCTGTCTAAAGAGTGATCTCACCTAGCATGCAAAAAAATATTTTTTTTTTTTTAGGTGGTTAAGAATTTGTTGTTTGTAGCCAAAGTCTTGTATTTACTGGAACCTGATTCTGGGGTTAAACAAGGTGAGATAAAAAAAGACAACGAAGAACAAGCAGCTGCAGAATATGGTGTAGCCAAAAAGGAAGCAGAACAAGAGGCCTATGCAGATGAGAAGGCGGAATCTGACAAAGAGGAGAATGAAGAGGGGAAGGAAGAGCAGAGCAAACCAGCCACGCTGCTGTGGTTGATTCAGAAGTTGTCTCGGATTGCAAAACTGGAAGCTGCCTACTCACCTAGAAACCTTTTAAAGGTGTGGTAAATGTGTAGAGTTCCTGAAGGTAGTCGTTTTTATTTAAAGCATTTTTAGTGGTGGAGTGATCCTCCCAAGTCTCTAGGAACTTTTGCATCCAGAACTGCAGCAATACCTGGCCCAATATGGACCCTGTTTTTGTAAATTAACTGTTTGTATGGCTCCAAGTGTAAGAGAAACACTTCTAATGAAAACGATCTGTATTTTCAGAGAACATGCATCTTTAAGTTTCTCGGAGCCGTGGCTATGGATCTCGGAGCAGACAAGGTGAAGCCGTATCTCCCGGTGATAATAGCTCCTTTGTTCCGGGAACTGAACAGCACCTATTCGGACCAGGGTAATTGTGGCCGCTCTTCTGAATACTTGCACCTCTCGCCTGAATGCTTCCTTCTTCCTTTCTGTCCTCCCTCCCTGCCAGTTTAAGAAAGAAAACTTGCTAAATATCAATACAATTAATAGCAAACAAATAAGGCATGTTTGTGTTGTATTAGATGACCTTCCCTTATACCTTCTCATGTCTAACAGTGAATGTTTCTTAAGAGATATTTCACTCCTAAGCCTAAATACTCAAAGCAAATTGTAAATTGAGGTGGTTCCGAACCTCAGAGTGTTATAAACAATAGTGAACAATGAAATGTCACCATATTCTCAAGAATTGTATGGCAAAAGTGTGAAATAGTATTTAAGTACTTCACTTTTTTGTATTTTTGCCTTGCTTGGAGCATTTGGTACATTAGCCTCGCTTATCCTAAAATGTCTATTTTGATAATAGGAAAAGTAGAAATTGGAGGTTGGAAAGAGAAGGTAAAGTGGGTGTTACCTTCCACTCTTCCAGTTTTAAAATAAAACAGATGAAGTGTTCTGGTCCTACAGCCCTGAAAGTTTCCTTCCTCTCAAAGAGGAAAAAGCAATGGTTAAAGTTGGATCTACTTTGGCTCTCATCAGCCAGCATTTACTGAGCACCTAGTATTTGCCAGGCATTGGAGTTCAACACTGGAGAAAAGGCCTCTCCCTATTTTCAAGAAACTTGAACAGGTATACTGAACTCTCCTGAAATTGAAGGGAAAATCTGTAACTTATTTGCATTTGGGAGAGAGAAGGCAGGGAAAGATGGGAGAGCATAGCTTTCATCTGCTTCACATAGGAATACCCACTCCCCCAAAATGGTATGGCCAGAGCTAAGCCTCTGTGACCTGTGAATTAGAGAGGGCCTACAGAAACACACTTACCTCCCCAATCTGCAGAGCTGAGCAGGTTAACAAAGATACCCCAAAACATGGCAGTCTAGTTCTCCAATTAAGATCTTCTGAGCCAGGAGTCCAGTAGAAGTGGATCTCTCTCATTGCATCCTGGATGAGGTGGTGTCTGGGAGCTGTGTCCAACACTTCTGGGGGCTCTCTCATCTTAGACACGCAGGGGTTGGGGTCCAGTGAGCACTTAATGTTGAATAAAAGCGATAACGCTGCAGGAGTTTACATGTTGATTTTGTAAATACTCAAATGTATCCCTTCCTACGTCACTGTCTCTGATTATTACTTTGTGTGTGATTAGATCCTTTGCTGAAGAATCTATCCCAGGAAATCATAGAATTACTCAAAAAGCTGGTTGGACTGGAGAGCTTCTCACTAGCCTTTGCCTCTGTTCAGAAACAGGCTAGTGAGAAAAGGGCGCTCCGGAAAAAGAGGAAGGCTTTGGAGGTAAGTGCGCTGTTTGAAAGGTCAGTGCGGCCTGTACGTTGGGCTTAATGACTCTTTTTAACCAGGGCTGTGTGCATGCATGTGTGTCAGTCACCCAGGGAGGAAAAGAGGAACTGGCTGCGTTTGAGAAATGGGGACCTTATAGCCACAGCTCCAGATGTTCTTTAATGGCTGTGTAAATATTTGTGATGTTTAGAGGTGAATAAAATGGTCTGTATGTGCATTTTTTATTGGTGTAACATTTACTTTAAAAGTAACAGAAAATTCTCTTCTTTTTTCAAGTTTGTAACTAATCCCGATATTGCCGCCAAGAAGAAGCTGAAGAGACACAAAAATAAAAGTGAAGCAAAGAAAAGAAAGATAGAGTTCCTGCGTCCAGGCTACAAGGCCAAGAGACAGAAGAGCCACAGCCTGAAAGATTTGGCGATGGTGGAGTGACGCGCTCCCTGGGCTGCCGGTGTCCAGCGCACCCCAAAGCACGGACTGCGCGGTGTGTCTGCCGGTCAGACATCGTAGCAGGTTTCATTATTTAAGCTAAACTTTAGCAGAGATTGTATAGTATACAGTTTAATATAATCATGTTCATATTTTAATTAAAACATTTCATACTACTACTGCATCTTCTTCATTGTCTAAAAAGCACGTGATACTAGCAATAAAGTTGAAAAAATATTTTAAAGATACACTTTCAACAGCAAGACAATGTAGAAGTTAGGAATAAATCAAACAAATGATTTTTAATACCCTTCTGGAGGAAATTGTGATACTTCATCAAGAGACATTAAGAAAAATCTGCACAAATGGAGAAATACAACCATGTTCATGGATGGGAAGATTCAGTATCATAAAATGCTAGTTCTCCCATGCTGAATCCCACTGGTTAAATGCATCTCTGAGCAAAATCCCCAGAGTTCTTCATATTACCCTAATAAGCTGATTATTCTAAAAATTTTACAGGAGATAAGCTGAAAATAGCCATTATACTCTTAAAAGAGAACAGGGTAAGAGGCTTTTCTTGTGAGGTAGCAAAAGTGAGACACAAAAAGCGCTGTCAATACAAGGAACACATAGTAAACTCCATTAAAATAAAGAACTTCTTAGGAAAAGACAGAAGTGGAATACAGTATATACTAATAAAGGATCATAATGAATCTATGAATCAACAAAGATAATACAGTTAAAAAAGTGGCAAGAAAGAGAATTGCACAGAAGAAATACAAACGGCCCTTAAACATTAATGTTTAGCAGATACGTTATTTCAAGTACTTGCACACCGGTTGGTAAATAGTTCTACCTTGAGACCCCCCCAAGTGCCACCTCAGCTACTTGAGTCCCTAGACTCCGGATCTCCACCCACACCAGAAATTAAAGGATATATACCTGTAAGGGTCCTCCTGCATCAGCTGGGTCCAGTAGTAAAATATTTTAACCACTCCTGTATTCAACCTCATTAATAATTAGGAAAACGCAAATTAACACCAGGATGAAATTCCATTTTGAAAACTTCAGATTGATAGTTGACAACACCAATGTTGGTGAGCAGAACAGAGGGAACTCTCATAAACCCCTCTCGGAAATAATCTGGCGCATTATCTTGTTCAACCTATGTTGTCTTTTCCCTCATTCTACTGTCGATGTGGAAGCGCTATCCTTTAGGGCCCAATACAGTGGGAAGGGAATGGGGAGGAAGAGCCATCTTACATGCCAGGCACTTTGAATCCATTTTGTTTAATCCTTTTAGTACTACTGAGAGCTTCCTAAAATTGGTTATTTTACAGATGAGGAAACTGAGACTAGGATTAAATAACTTACCTAAGGATGACCTAGGTTGCAGGTGGCACAACTGAAATTTGAAGCCAGGATTGAAAGCAAGCCCATGCTCTAATTTATAATTATGGGGTTAGAATATTAAGCATATGTCATAGGAATCGTTTGAACATTTTTAACTTCAGCATCTGTGTTTCGATGTAATTCATATCTCAAACAGGAGTTCTTACTTCCAGGGGGTTTGTAATGTGCCAAAATGATAAACGTGGTGCATCTTGGAAGGCTAACTTCCATTAATTCAAAGTAATTTAAAGTGCGTGAGTTAACACTAAGGCAAAAATCAGAAAGAACAAGTATTTCTGGAATACTGAGCACAGCTTTGTTTTAATCAGCATTTACTGAGTGCCTACTATGTGCCAGGTGCACCACACTAGATACAAGGCATACTAGTAGTAAACAAAGTATGAGCCCCAGCTACTGTAGCTCAGTTGGTTGAGTACCAGCCTGCAAACCAAAGGGTTGCAGGTTTGATTCCCGGTCAGGGCACATGCCTGGGTTGCAGGTCAGGTCTCTAGTTGGGGGCATGCAAGAGGCAACTACACATTGATGCTCATCTCCCTTTCTTCCCCCCTCTCTCAAAATAATTAAAATCTTAAAAAAAAAAAAAAAAAAAAAAAAGGTATGGTCCCTGCCCTCAAAGAGCTCATTTTTCCACAATTTGAAGTATATCTCAAGTGTCCTGATAACAGAATTCCACCACTCTTTATTTTTCAGTGTGATCACATTGTAGCACACCTACTAACCAGTTACAAAATACAATGTTAAAGCTAAAACCAACCCTTGATATTATTTGGCCAAGTCGCCTGTTTTATGGGCGGGGGGGGGGGGGGGGGGGGGGAATCCCCAAAGGAGTGGCCATTTGTGCCTAGAACTTTATTTTTTCCTTCAATTTTTTAAAATACCAACATTCAAACTCCTGTAACATACCTGTGTAGTTGCTTCCTACTAGAAAAGGACCTTGTAATTTATACCATATTAAAATAAGCATATGCTCTTTTACCCCATCCTAGTCTTTGTGATAAACCAGAGGGCTGCGGATCATCCAGGGGTGACCTTGGCTACAGCTTCATGGGTCCTTAAAATTCAAGCCGGCAAGGCCCAGCTGCCAGACAACACCTGCCAGCCAGGGCCTCACGTCTCCATACTTTATTCTCACAGTGATTCTGAGCTTCTCCACTTGACACTGAGAGCAAATTAGGAAAGGGTGCTGGGGAATAATAAAAGTCCCACAGGTGAAAAGGGCTCTAATTTGAGCTCAGAGAATGACTAGCAGTGTAAGGGAAAGAGGCCAGAGGCCAACATCTGATTGGACTGTGTCAGGGACAGGAAATGAACCTCAATAGTGTTTCTGAAACCTAAGGGACACAATGGTGCTAAGCTCACTTTACCAGCATCTGATTTTTTTAAATGCTGGCTGTTCAACTTAAAAAATAAAAAAAATTCTCTCCAATTTCAGTAATTATTGAGGACTACATCTACTTCTGTCACACTATAGCCAATCCTGTTGTGGACTGGGCAGTTTGAAAAGTTCCTTTGAACATAAATTTTTGATAGCCTAGTGGTAAACCTAATTTTTAAAACCAAGAATGCTTAATTTCTCCCTGTAAAACCAATATGATTTTGACTTCACCTACCAAACTTACATGTCCAATTATAAGTAGATAAAAAGAATGAAAGACAGTAAAGACATCTTTTACAATGCTTAAAATACATTTTTTTTATTTCCTTCAGTGTGAATTTTTTCTTTAATGTGTTATGAATTCATCAAATATAACCACTTAGGATCGTGTTTACTATCTCAACTAGTATGGACAAATAAATTTACAGACATTATTTCGAATGTACAGAGTCTCCTTCAGTTAGCATAATTTTACTTAAGGAATAATGTCATCTGCGTTATACAGCTGACATTTTCAGGAACTATGGTATAGTTCATGGGACTACCTTCTGACCCTGACCCTGACGTCTCATTCTGAGCTCTGCTCCCAGCTTACGAGCAGTTGGGCGAGCCAACCTAGCAACCCAAGATTCCACATGTCCATAAACACTACATTACAACCTGTCCTACCTAAATCACGGGTTCTTATACAAACTGACTAGGTCAATATACGTAAAACCTTTTCAACAACTATATAAAGTACTATAAAATGACAATTACAAATGAGTCAGTGAAGTTAACCACCAAAATAATTATTTCAACTTCATGCCTATAACCAAAAGCTTTTAAACGGGACAGCTTAAATAAAGTGGTCATTAAGTAAATGAAAACTATATTGCCCACACTATGTTCCTATACTGACTGCTCTACTGAGTCTAAATTTTGGAAAAACTTAATTCATTTTAGAGGAAAAAAATCTGAGCTAAGATATTTATTAGTGTTTATACAAACAATCTATAACCACTAATCCAAAAATAGGGTTTTTTTTCCTCAATTAGAGTATACTCTTTAATAGGACTGTATTTGAATAAGAATTCCACACAAATAGAATATATACCCTTAAAACAAGAAAGGAAGGAATATTTTACATTACACAGACCAGACATTCAGTTGGTTCAATCGTGATGGGTTACCCTTCCAACCAAATACTTATTTTTTATATTTATTACAAATGTTGTAGTCAGTTCAGTATATGCCGACGATCATACACAGTTCTAACATTTAGTAGTGTGAAGCACACCTAACGGTTTCCGTAGGGCTTTGGGATGTGGTCTTCATTTCAGAGGTGCAGAAGTGACTGAATTACTGTCTGCTCTTTAATGTTTCAACTAACCTGTAAAGAGAAAATGAATGGTTTCATAAAATTAACTTCAAACTTTCAGGTATAGAGTATGATCATCTATAAACTTCATACTGGGGGTGGATCCCAAAGCACTTTAAATGACGAAGGCTAAGATAGTTATATAAGAAAAATGAGGTTATGGACTTAATTTTGAAGAGGGTCTTTTAGTGTTCACTTTGTCTATGCTTTGAATGGATAATCAAAAAGACCAAATATGTACTTTTCAGGCTGCTACTTCTACAGCCAGATAATTCAGTGGTGAAAACTAGTCTCTGTCCTCAAGGAGCTGACACATCTAATAAGGACATGTACAAATCAATTACAAGACTGTGGAACAAGTACTGTATCACTGATTTGTGACAAGGACATCCACGTGTATGGTAAGGCAGTGAGCATGAGATATATCAGGGAAAACTCTTGAAAAGAAGAAGGCCTTAACCAAAGTCCTGAAGGATAAGGAACTGGAGGACGAAGTGAGTCAGGAAAAAGAAAAATGACAGAAAGCTGGCTTATCCAACTGTAATTAGGTAGGTGTGGTTGAAATATAAGTGGACATTAAGGCAAGTGGAAAATAAGGCTGGAAGAACTTATATGATAAGCTGCTAAGTAATTTAAATTTCATCCTTAAGACAAAAGGGGGAGTTATACATGTATACACAGCTATACACACACACATGCACAGATGGCTTCTGGAAACATGACGCTTACCATTCCATTGCCTCATCAAGGCCAGTGCCCTTGGTTGCTGAAGTTTTGAATATCTGCCATTTTCGGTCTTTCAAGGCAGGTAGCCCCAGTGAATTTGCCATCTCTGAGGGAGTCATGGCCTGTTCCATATCCTGCTTATTTGCAAACACCACCAAAATGGCTTTTCTCAGCTCCTCTTCCTGAATTAAACACGGTATTTAATTTCTTTTAATTGATATGCTCCCTTGAGTTTAGGAAGTGCCAAAAAATTCCTTACTTTAAAAGTA